AAAAATTATTAAATAAAAAGAAAAAATTTAATTTAAATATTGCACTTTCAAATTATATTAATGAGTTCCTGAAATTTGCCCCAGGTATCCAAACATAGACCAATAACAACCTAAAACTGGTTTTATCCTTCTCATGTTTAAATTTCCATGATTAGTTAGCTAGCTAGAGGCACAAACTCTGATGAGGCCATCTGGGAACTCAGTAATTTTGTTTTATTATAAATTTATTAGCTATAAAAATATCTATAAAATCCTGGATCTGGCCATTCAAACCCTCACTGAGGACAGTAAGATAATTCTGGTGTATGAGATTATGAAGGTCTAAGGACTGACAGAAATTTTGGAGGCCTTTTCAATTCTATCATCCTAAAACAATTGCCCTGAACTTTGTAGATTACAGTCTTTTCTCTGATTCAAACCCAGCAATGCTTCTCATATAATTCACTTGAATAAAATGTTTGACTTAAGTAGGTGCACAATGAAGATTTGCTATTGGAACAATTCAAAAAGCTTCTTAGATTTGTGGGTTCTAAGTCGTGCTAATCTCTTGACCTTCTTATATTCCATCAGTGAGACTGAATGGACTCAACAGTAGATTCAACGCAATGTCAAAGAGGGCATTCTTCCAACATCCAACCCTATAGACAAATTAATTAGTTGCCTATTTCATCTATAAGTTATGCCAGTATCCTCTTCAATAATTGCAAGTCTGAATCTTCAGATTGATTTTGAATCAGGTGTTAGGCAAAATATTCTATTATCCTCTTATGCTGTTTTAACATCTTATAATTAAGTCAGTTGAAAAATGCTAAGATTTTGGCAGTAGTTTGGTTGTTTTTTGTTTTTTGTTTTTTTGGCTGAAGTGCAGTGGCATGATCATAGCTCACTGCAACCTCAAACTCCTGAGCTCAAGAGAGCTTCCCATCTCAGACTCCCAAGCAACTGGGACTACAAGCACATATCACCATGCCTGCTTGAATTTTACATTTTTTTGTAAAGATAGCATCTCACTGTGTTGCCCAGGCTGGTCTCAAACTCCTGGGTTCAAGTGATCCTCCTGACTCAGCCTCCCAAACTGCTGGGATTACAGGTATGAGCCACTGTGACCGACCTATTGGCAGTTTTTGTAATCCATGTATTGACCTTGAACTAAGGCATAATCTGTACAGTCTTGATATAGATCCTGTTTGTTGACACCTTAACAAAACCTGCATTTTAGTTGGCAAGAATAATTTCCTGATATACTTCAAATAATGTCAAATACAATGCTAAGCCACCTGTAATTCTTACACATTTTCTTTAAACTATCTAGCTCTTTCTAATCTTGCATATTTATTTAAACTCTGCACAGTGGGTGCTTTAAAAATAATTGGCTCTTGTGGTTGTGTTCTTCACGTCAAACCATGATGTGGGCAGGATAAACTTGAGCTAATTAAGCAGCAGACTCTGTCTAGCAAGACCATTTGTTGAGGTTAAAAAGACACTGATCTAGGAACCAGAAGCCCTACTTCTGCCAAACAATTCAGCAACCATGAATAAGTTATTTAATCTTTCTGGTTTTTAGTTTCTTCATCTGAAAAGTTGCCCAGTTGGACTGGATAATCTCTATGATCTCTTCCACACTCTGAATACTTAGATATCTACTGTTTCTGAATACTTTGGCATTTCTTATAAAGCCATTTTACAACATATACTTTTTAATTTTATCCTTACAAAAATCCCTGAACTAGGCAAGGCAGAACTTTAGAGGATATATAGATAGGTTGGGTATCATTTTAGATATGGTAAATTAAAGTTAGAGGAGATTAAGTAATTGGTAAAGATTATCTATCTGATAAACAGTAGAAATGGAACATGAATTCAGATCTTCTGACCCCAGAAAATTCCTATGTAAACCACAAAAAAACACACAAGAGGAAGCATAATTGTTTGGAATCATTAATTATGTGCATGAATTACTTCTACTAGTGATACTTCCTGTAGCTACTCAAACCACACTAAAACTCAAACTAAAAGTAAATAACAGAAATACAAGTAGTAAAATGACCAGTGCTTTGTTGTAATAGAAAGATAAGGGTAATTACAATCGATCAATAAAACAACAGCTAAGCTCTGAATGGGTAGGTTTGAGACCGCAATGTGGAGCGAAGTTATGATTCAGTTGTGGCCCCTCCTTACCAGAAATGTTGAGACAAGGTACGGGGGTGGGGGATTTTGGAGAAACAAAGCTATGAGGAAAGAGGAGTTGGAAAACCCTCATTAGTTAGCTAGGTGAAAATTAATGGGAAAACTAACAGACAAGTAATAGCATTTATTATGTGTCATGTTGGAAAAAATTAAGACTAGGAAAGGATATAAACTTGATGGTCAGATTGCAATAAAGAAGTGTTTGTGACTACAGAATTACATACCAAAAGGAGTGATGGGACATAGGAAATACACACTGAAATACTAAGGGGTAAAGGGAACAACGTATGAAACCTATTCCCAAATAGTCTAGAATAAATAAATAATGTGTGCGTGTATATCAAAATGTTAAAAGGTGATGAATCTGGGTAAGGGATATATGATAGTTCTTTCTACTGTTCTTGCACCTTTTCTGTAGGTCTGAATTTCAAAATTAAATGTCAAAGAAAAAAGGATTGTTAGCAGCATAGTTATTGAGACATGAAACTATGTAAAAAGACTCTTAATAGAGCTGAGAAAGACTTCATAGAATATTTTATACACAGATCAGTGGACCTGAATTCTAGTTTACATTTGTCCTCTATGCAGGTATGCAATCATGAACTAGTGTTAGAAAAACTGTGGTTTGGGCCTAGGTCAGTGATTTTCAAACTGTTCTGTGCATTCAGGAAAAGTATTTTAGGTCCCAAACAGCAAAGCAGGGGGTGCTGTAGGCCTGGCTTCCATCCTTGTCCCTGTGTAGCTTATTTTTTTTTCCCTTTTTTTGTGGGGAGTGGGTATTTATTTGTATTCTAAGAAAGGTTCCCATTGTTCCAAAATAATTTTTCCCCTGATCTAGCCACGGGACTAGATGACTTTTAAGGATGATTTCAAGTATGAATTCATGGGCTTCAGTTGTTTAGAGGGGGAACTGTTATAACAATACCCAGTCTGGCCTGCCAATAGCTTTTGCAGGTCCCCCCCGATTTTTAATTTTTAAATGATTGGAAAAAAAAGAAGAATGTTTTGTGACTCATAAAAATGACATGAAACTAAATTTCAGTGTCCATAAGGTTTGACTGGAACATAGCCACACCCATGTTTTGTCTATATGGCTGCTTTCACTTACAACAGCAGAGAATACTTGTGACAAACACCAGAGACCTTATGCCCAAAAGGCCTACATATTTACTATCTGGCTTTTATAGACAAAGGTTGTCAACCCCTATGTTATAAATAATAACCATTAAAACCGATAAACATTATAAATGATGAAGTTCAAGACACCTAGTGACTTCTGTGCAGATATTCGGATCATAAAGGAAATGGTCTTTTAGGACAGCCTGCCCCTTCCCATAAGATATTTGCTTCTTCCTGTATAATTAACAAAAAGAATTTTTGTTGTCAACTCTGGAACTCTCCCCAGGGGTATTTGCACTGTATGAGGGGCTCTACAAGAACTCTTTTCCAGGGATAGGAATTTCAGGTATATTGGCAGGATTGTGGAAACTTGGAAGGGCATGACAATGAACTTCAGATTTCACTTTCTCCACATGAGGTTGGCCTTAGCCGCACTTCTCCCTTGATTTGCCAGATAGCCAATTTCTGCACGAAACAAGATATAATCTTTCTGCTTTCTGTTGCTATTTGACATAATTATTCCTGATTTGGGAGAAAAGAAAACCATGCAGTTTCATAAAGATATTGGAGATCAACAGATGTTTTAGAGTGAAGGCATTAGTTACATTCCTATTCCTGGTACTAATTTTTGAGGGTAATATGCTGAGTTCTTGTCTAACTCAAGATTTCTATGAAGATCAAATGAGCTATTGAATGAGAAAGTGCTTCATGATGGCAATGAAATGATACAAGTGAAAGCTTTCCTGAATTGTGACAATATGACTATATTATACACATAGATATTATCATTAAGCCAAGGTTAGAATCGAAAAAACTATCGTTTTATGCTATAAGCACATCATAGACAGTTTATCTGGCCTAATCAAAACAGATACAACATTCACTGTTGTTTTCTTTTCCCAATAACTCATGCCATGTATTAGCTTGCTAGGGCTGCTCTTACAAAGTACCATAAACTGGGTGGCTTAAACAACACAAATTTATTGTCTCCCAGTTCTTGAGGCTAGAAGTCCAAAATCAAGGGTCAGTAGGGTTGATTCTTTCTATGAGAAAAGATCTGTTGCAGTCTTCTTTCCTTGGCTTGTAGATGGCCTTCTCCCTATATGTCTTCACATTGTCTTCTCTCTATGAATGTCTGAGTCCAAACATCCTAATCTTAAGAGTACACCAGATGGGGTACGGTGGCTCATGCCTGTAATCCCAGCACTTTGGGAAGCCAAAGCAGGATGATTGCTTAAGGCCAGGAGTTCAAGACAAGCTGGGACAGCATAGCAGGACTTCATTTCCATAAAAACTTAAAAAATTAGCCAGGTATGGTGGTACATGCATATAGCCCCAGTTACTAGAAAGGCTGACGCAGGAAGATTGCTTGAGCATAGGAGTTTGAGGCTACAGTGATATTATATAGCACCAGTGTACTCCAGCCTGGGTGATAGAGAAACTCTGCCTCAAAAAAACAAAAAAACAAAAAACAAGTACACCCCAATCATATTGAGACCTCATATTAACATGATTAGTTCTGTAAAAACTCTAACTTCAAATAAGATCACAATCTGAGGTATGGGGAATTAAGACTTCAACATATGAATTTGGTGTGGGGGAGGAGGTATAGCACAATTCAACCCATAACATGAAGAATGGTTTATTTTGTGAATTTAGGTACAAAGCCCTTTTCTTCAAGATCTATTTCTTCAGTGATCCATTGATTTTAGTGAAAAAAGCTTTTTCTTTCTTTATTTTCTCAATTTCAGGGCATGTCTCATTTCTCTTGCTGACTATCTTATTGAAATGGAGAAAGGGAGTAGATAAGCTTGCCCTTTACAATATTGCAAATGCTGGGTAGTGAATTCAAAGACCTACCATGTGGAATTCTATGCATACCCAACTTGGTGTTCCAGTCTTTCAATATACAGATCTTTTCCCAAAAACCTAGTAACAATAGGTGAGAACACACCTTACCACTTTCTTCAAGACCCATAAAAAATGGGACAGGTTTGTTTGTACTTGAAGCCAAGCTGCTGGCTTAGCTGCAGAATATAGTGTAATCGGAAGCCTCTGAGGATGTTTGCTAGCGTGAATGGGCAAATAAAAAATAATAAGGAATATGTCAGTGATTTGGTTACATAAACTAGTCTTCCTCTCCCCCCTCCACCAAAAGACCAAAAAAAAAAAAAAAAAGGGAATATACCAGTGATAGAACATTTAAAATACCAGATCTCAATAAATTATGTTGAGGAGTACACCCTTTAAAAAACACAAAGCGTTGAAGAAACCTTTCTTTCTATGGCTAAAATATTTTTAATCTGAGAATTATATTTATTTTAAAACATAATCCTAAATTTATTTGCTGTTTTAATAATAAAAGCATTCTAGCTAAAATATTAATTGTAGCAGCTAGCCTTTTTCCATTGTTCCCAGAGTGCACCCCGAAAACTGAAAATATAATCTTCATTTTCATTTGTCATGTACTAACATGTGCTTTACATCTTACAGGCAATTACTGAAAATATCTTTGATGCAGTAAGACAGGTTCTGCCTAATTTTCCACTTCTGAGTCTGCAGAGTTCAATGATAAACTCTGGAAATTGAAAAAAAACAACCCCAAACCTTTCATTAAAGCCTTCCCTAAATTTTTATTCAAGCAGTGACCAGTTTAGTTATTAGCTGTAGGTCTCCCCTGCTAGCAACAATTCATATGGCAGTAAAAGCTGTGTAGGGAACTGTCGATGAAGCACATAGAAGAAGCTCCAAAATCCTCCTTGGAAAAGAATGAAAAATTTGTGTTGTCAGCTTCACACCTGCAGCAGGACGCAGGAGCAAAAGCCTGAGAGTGAAATCCTGAGTTACCTTTTGCAGTAGTCTAATTTCCAGCTCGTGTGTTTGTTTATTTATGAATGCCTTTCTCAACAAGAGCTCAAGGTGTAACCAATGGGCTTAAATCAGCAGTAAGAAGTGGTGACACTGAGCCCCAAATGAATTGAAATACTGATATAAGAAACATAATGAAAAGAAAGACTCTAGTGTTTTCTGAACACTTAGTGACTAGGTCAGTGCCTCTCCAATTTTAATATGCATATGAATCATCTAAGGGATCATTTTAACAGGCATATTCTGATTCAGCAGATTTGGGGAAAGACCTGAAATTCTGCATTTTTAACAAGTTTTCATTGAGTGCTGGCTGCTAGTTCCCAGATTGTACTTTGTGTAGCCAAATACCCAGGTCCTTCATATTTAATACTTACAATAAATTTGACAGAGAGCTATTATTATTATCTTTTAAAACAGGCACTGAAGGAGAAGTTAAATAATAATTCTTAAATGGGGAAAACCTGGTTTGTCTAATAACAAAGTTCATATTCTTTAGTACCATAATAAAACCCCACAGGATTAACAGATGCTTTATTTTATTTTTTAAAATTTGAGTGTGTCTCAAATATGCCTGATCACCTGTGACATTTGTCTCGAATTCAGATCCTCAGTCCTTCCTACAATCTATAATTTCTAGAGGCGGTGCCTAGGAGAAGGTATTTTTAACTGATATCTAGGTGATTATTGTGATTAGGAATGTTTAGAAAACAATGATCATCTATAATAGGTCATGCTGTAGTTTTGAAAAATCAAGTAGGGAGTCTTGGTTTTCTGTGTTTTGTTAAAGAACTTTGAGAGAACATTGTCTACTCAGGCACAAAGGATCTCAGAACCCCTTTAATGCATTTGAACTTCACTGAGAAAGGCTGCTGGGGCACATGGAATGAAACTTGTTTGTTTCATGAGGTAAGGGATAGGTTTAAACCTGTATCTTATAACAGGGTGCTAAAGTATAGTATCTAATTATGTCTCTTTTAATTGTAAGGTGAAAGCAAGAATAGCCACAAAATTTTCTTTCCTTTTTTATCAGGTTAGTGATCTTTGTCACCCAATCCAATTATAGAACATCTGTATTGTAGAATAAAAGCCCAACTGGAAAATATTTTCCATATCCAAAGTCCATAGTTAAAATTTTTATTAAGAATTCTGAATGAGGCCGGCGTGGTGGCTCACGCTTGTAATCCTAGCACTCTGGGAGGCCGAGGCGGGCGAATTGCTCCAGGTCAGGAGTTCGAAACCAGCCTGAGCAAGAGCGAGACCCCGTCTCTACTATAAATAGAAAGAAATTAATTGGCCAGCTAATATATATATAGAAAAGATTAGCCGGGCATGGTGGCACATGCCTGTAGTCCCAGCTACTCGGGAGGCTGAGGCAGCAGGATTGCTTGAGCCCAGGAGTTTGAGGTTGCTGTGAGCTAGCTGACGCCACGCACTCACTCTAGCCTGAGGAACAAAGCGAGACTCTGTCTCAAAAAAAAAAAAAAAAGAATTCTGAATGAGATTAGAGTAAGGGTAATTATTTATCTCAGCTGTGAATGGGTAACTTTTGGCCAAGGAGATTATACATAAATGTTTCACTATAGTTCTGAATGGTAAATAAAGGGCCAATGAAGTAAACTTTTTAAAGTAAACGTTGAGTTACTTCTTTTAGATCACTGATTTTTTTTAAATGGCTTTACAAAAACACGTTTAGTATGCTGTAAGGGTAGGCATTATTAAAAGGAACTCTAGGACCTTGATACAGTTAATGTACTTATGAAATATATAATAATTAGCTTAAATATATTCTGTTGCTAACAGAACTTAATAACTTAATAACTAGAAGACTTTAGATTTTCTTATGTATTTCTATATTTTGAAGAAAAACTATATGAATTCAAATGAAATATCACATTTCCTTTTAAAATTAACAAGATATTTCAAGGACACTAAAAGACTTATAGACTGAAATCTCACTCTGATACAATTCACTAAGGGTAGAATTTGTTGCAGGATAGGTCAACCAGTATAAATAGACATTTTGAGGCAGCCCAATCTGTGTTTGAAGCCTGGATCAGACCAGTTACCTAACTGGTCTAAGCCTCCATTTCCTCATCTTTAAGGAAATGGGACACTAAGTGAATGAATTACTGAATTCATTAATGAGTAGTCACTAGTTTAAAGCATGGTATAATAGCTGAATTGCCAAAAGGACTTCCTTTTAATAATTGCCACTTATAAGGGAATCTCAGAGAATCCCCCATTACCCATTTTGCAAAGCTAAGTATTAATATTTACTTCTGCCATTGAATTACAGTGAAGTCACATGATGTCAACATTTAACTTATTTAAATTCAATTATATGCCCTTGACAAGAAAAAATAAATAAAAAGAGGGGGAAACCCCGCAATTTTAAATTAGCTGGGTAATTGGGCCCAATGGTCTGTTCAATGAGCAAATACTCTGGCATAAATATGAGAAATGTGAATCTTTCTTTCAGTGGGCCTCTCAAAGTATGAACATCTCAGTGTACAGAGTATAAGTTTAGCATTCTGAAATGTGTATTTTTGTACAAAATACTCCTAATGCACAAGACAACAACTACATTTTATCTGTTGCTCAACTGAAGAAACAATGTTCTGTCTCAAAGCTGGAGGGAAAACCAGCTCTATTGAAACAGTTGAGAAATATTATGTCTCTCTCTGAAGTAACAACTTCCTGAGGAATTTTCCAATGTAATTTTAAAAATCTTTTTATTTTGAAATAATTTCAGACTTACAGAAATTGCAAAAAAATTGCCAAAATACTTCAGAAAGTTGTTATTGCTCTTTACCAAGTTTCTCCTAATGTTAGCAACTTTTGTAACCATGTATAATTGTCAAAATCAGCAAATAAACACTGGAATAAAACTATAAACTATAGACCTTATGCACATACCATGAGTTTTTTCCACTAATGTCCTTTTTCTGTCCCAGGAACTTATCTAGGATCTCACCTTTTAGTTATTTGTTATTTTTTCGTAGTCTCCTCCAATCTGTGAAAGCTTCTCAATCTTTGTCTTTCATGGCTTTGATTCGTGGTTCCATGAAGATAAAGAAAAGTCACGGTCAACATTTAAAAATGTCTTAAGTATTGCTTTCTCAGGTAATTCTTTGTAAACCCCAAACCAGGATAATTTCTACAGTAGATTATTTGTTAATTTGTCATTACACAAGTGAATGTAGCAGATGGCATTATCCAATTGAATTTAACTGTTCAAGTGAACAAAAAGAAGTAACTACTCTTATTCTTGGATAGTTATTACCTTAGGAGCCACTTAAGACACTGGCAGAAGAATCTATTTGTAACATTCCATTTCTAACACCTCAGATGGACAGGAGATTCAACATCTTTATTCAATTCCTTCAAATTAACATTAAAAACAAGTAAGTGGATAGAAGCTTTTCAGTGTCATTTATTTAGACAATGTATCTCATAATGGTTTTTGCAGTTTGGTAAAGAAATAGATACACAAATTTATTTGTGAAATAAAATAAAAACTTTCTTTTTAAGTCATGCTTTGTGAGAAAACTATTAAAGCATTGTTATCTGTGGCAACGATATTATGGATTATTATAGATTATTTCCATTATTTTCTTACCTCCTGTCTATGTTTTCCAAATTCTCCATAATAATCATTACTTTTATAATCAGAAAAAGAGGTACTTTAAAAAATGTTAAATGTCTATACATTTAACACAGTATACCTGATCCATGTTAATGTGTTTGCACTTTCTATATGACATCAAATAGTTCTCTTTCTCTCAATGACTGAAATGTACAGACTTTATTTACAAACTAGGCCCAAATGACTTGTATTGTGATCACATTTGTCTCCACTCTCTATGCAAAATGATCAGGCTAGGATCATTTAACACACCTTGGCAAAAAACATTTAAAATGTTATTATCAAAATAACTATGCAGGTTTTTCACCAGATTTCTGTAGAACTACAATGAAAGGTCAAAGCAAGAAGAAGCTGACTTCTAGAAAAACTCCAGCCTCTCACACCTTCTCTTAACCCCGATCACATGGTGTGCAGCAAATATTTTTAGATTATATTGACAAAACTTGAAACTGCAAACTGGAGCTATAGTGTACAATGTGATAATGGGAAAAAAAGTTCTCTTCATGACAGTTAAAGAATTTATGCAAAGGGTTTGAGACTCTTGGATGAGCGTTATTAAGTAAATACCGCAGGATGTGCACATTATCCAACAGACAGCATAGCATAATTACAGTTTGCTTTCAACCATTCAAAGCTTGTGTTCTCTGGTTTTAGCCTCTTTGCCTTTTGAATTATTTCTGACTCATTAGCCTTTCATCCTAGAGGCAATTTACACGCTCTATAAAATGATGGATATTTTTCTTAAATCTCTTTTCTAGCAAATGCATTGTATTTGATTTTCTACCTCAGAATGTAAATTCCCACAGTATAAAATCAACTAAACAATACTTGTTTCCTTCTTTTACATCCTCCTTTCTCTCAAAATATTTATTTGCAATTAAAAGCACATAACTGAAGATGAATTCTTCCTTACAATGTAGACACTATCGGTGTCCCAACCATGGGCAATCAACACTTTGGGCTGGATAATCCTTTGTTGTGAGGGGTTGTCCTGTTTATTATAGGATGTTCAGCAACAACCTGGCCTCTACCCACTAGATGCCAGTAGCGCAGAGCTCTAAAACTAGAGATGTGACCACCAAATATCCCCTTGGGAACAAAAGCATCCTTGGTTGAGAACCACTGAATTAGGCCAAAGATCTCATAAAACCAAGCTCTTTGTCCCATTGTCCATTCAAATTGCTCCTTTGACTCCATGGTCAATGTCTACCCACATAGCTACTGACTAGCATAAAGTACAGACACTCACAAACACCCTCACATTCTTCATGTGACAGCCCTTGAACACTGTCTGGAGTTCTTCCTCTGAACCATATGTGGCCAATTTGGCTAGGAGCAGCGATGCAAGACTGGTGCCCGTTCGTACCCCTCAGTGGCATGGAAATTCACACTTACCATTTTTAATGTATTTAAGTTCATAATGTCTTGACTTCTGAAGCTTTAAAATACCTCCAGTTTCTTTATCCACTGGCCACACTTTGCAAACCCAATGCTCCTCCACGAGGAGCATTGTTTTGACTATAATTTTATTTAATTAACTATGTTTATTCTGCTTTGCAATTATTTTTCTCATTTGGCAGTTAAATATACAATTATGATCCAAGCTCAAGATATTTATTTCCTGAAATTACCCTAGATTAGAGCTTATTAATTAAAACTTGGGGGAGGGATTTATAGAATTTTGTTTTTTTTAAAAAAAACCATTTTCCTAAAACACCCCACAACAAACCCACATGTTAACTTATATAAACTTTATTTTTATGCCTCTTAGTCTACTTGAGGGATGTTTATTCTCCCCACTCAAGTCATTTGGTGTTTGAAGCACCAAGAAAAATGGCCACAGGGAGTTGATATCCTTTGCAAAGGAAACATTAGTAATGTATTCTTCCCTGTGGAAAACTCTGAAAAGTGGATCTGCCATTACTAGATACACTTGAGCAAGCACTTTAGTCTCTCCTAGACTATTTCATTTTCGGTAAAATGAAGATGATGATACCTACCCTCTAGGGCTATCATATTGAACAAAGTGAATTGTTTCAAGCTCTTAGCCCTATGCCTAACATACAGGTGTTTTATAAGTGTCATTTACTATGCTATTTCTCTTCCTTGTTCCCAGCACCAACTAAATAATTTATGGGGTCCAGGGAAGAATGAAAATGTGGGCTCCCTTGTTCAAAAATTAAGAATTTCGAGACAACAGCAGAATGTTAAACCAAGTGTGGAGCCCTGTGTGACTACCTAGGTCACACTCATATAGTCAGTCCTGCTTGCTCCCCTAAGGTTTCCCAGCATCCACTTGTCTATCCTTCCACAAAATTAAAAACCACTCTTCAAATTTGACAACTGACAGGGAAATAAATGCAACTAACTAAGGAAGGCTTGATTATATGCACGGTTTTCCAACACTGGATGACTTTTACTCAAGCAATATGTTGAACGTTAGTGAACCTAGGGCCTTCAAGAGGGACTGTTTTCATGTGCCATGGTATTTTAGTGGTTTGTATCATTTTCTATATGGATGAATTAAAAGAAAAACAACCCTTAGTCGTCCATTAGTAATTGGACCCTTGATTGATAGTCCAAGAAGCCACTTAGTGGCCAAAGAGGTACTCAATTCAAATAATATTTATCTAGATGTTTCAAACGGCATTCACAAATAGAGCAGCATAACTCTCTAAACAGATGATTTAGACCTAGACAGGAGACTTCTCGGGTACTAGTACGGATGTTTAAGAGTTAAATACTCAAAGAGGAAGATTTAATTGTCAAACCATTGAGCCCCAGCTCTGCTCATTATTCCTTCTTTATAGATACATCAACATGTCCTTAAAAGGGTTTCTCAAGGTCTCACATTCTATTTGATAAGAAGCAGAATCATGTAAAAAACAAAATAAATGTGTGAACATGTGTATATACACATATATACATATATTCACATACACATACAGAGAGAGGAATTTCTGTATTTCCTCTATTGGAAGAAATACACACACACTCAGATACCAACACACATGGCCACACATGGCATCCTAATAGAAGACAAAAAGAACTATTATTATAATAACATTTATCGTGTACCTCCTATGTGCCAGGTGTTTTATATACTTTACAACAGCAGTCCCCAACTTTTTTGGCACCAGGGACTGGTTTCATGGAAGATACTTCTTCCACATACTGGGTGGGCGTGGGAGGGGGCAGAGCTCAGGTGGTGATACAAGTGATGGGGAACAGCTATAAATGAAGCTTTGCTCACTTGTCAGCCAGCAATCACCACCTACTGTGTGCCTCTTTTTTTTGTCACCCCAAGTTTCATGGAAGACAATTTTTCCCTGGGGGGGTGGGGGTGGGGGAGGAATGGCACATCTCTGCAGTTCTGTTCTTAACAGGCCACAGATGGGTACCAGTCTGAGGCCCAAGGGTTGGGAACAGCAGCCTTAGAATATTAAACATATGTTAATTTTTCTCCATTCATTTAATCTCAAGTCAAGAGAAACTTCTTATTTATTTATTTATTTTTTAACAGTAGAGCAACCAAGGCTTAAAGCAGCTATGCAACCTACCCAAAGTCACAGTTAACAAGATGGGTGGGTCTCAACTGGAGATTGAAAGGTGGTCTTACTAATAACCTATCTAACCTATCTAACACTAATAACCTATCTAAAATAAACTATCAAACCAGAAAATAAGAGAAATAAACTCACAACACAACTACCCTTTGCTTAATTAAAACACGTGTGGCCCAACCTGTTATCTCTGACTTCTTTCTCAACCTTGAAAAAGTTCCTGATTCCTGAGTGGACAGTAGGACTGAGCTTCCCCTGCTTCCTCAAGAAGAGACAGTACGGGATGCCTCCCGCTAACAAGAAGAAAGAAGAAACTAATTTTTACTATCAATGTGTTAGGTAAGAAACAGAAAAAGCCAACACAGTAGCTTCACAGCCACTTTTGTTATCAGTCCCCTGAAACAGAGAGGAAAAAAAACCTCAAAACTTTTCTACCCTTTAAAAGCACCAAGCAACTTTCCTCGCCACTCATTTCTTTCTTCCATGTGTCATGGCCACTCTCTGTTTATTTCTAGGAAAATAAACTTTTACTTTTGTATATCCTAATCATTGTCTGAAAATTCCGCCCCCCCCCATTGGAACTTCATACCCTAACAGAGATTTCATCTCCAAGGCCCATGTATCAAAATCCTATCATGTATCAAAATCAGGTTTTCAGTTTTCATGTTAAAAATTCAGGGATCCAACTTGTCATAGTGTCTTTAAATAAAACAACAAACAAAAACACAACAAATTATCATACTTGCGCATCATATTAGTTTAAAGGTCACCTTGCTCTTACCATAATGTGCCCCCTTTCCCCATCCCATCACATAAATCGTTCAGGTCTAGGGATTAGTAATTGTGCTAATAGCTGAACAGAGCAAAGAAAAAGTTAGAATTTGTGATGGTGGGCCTAACTCCAAAGCCCTCAAGAAGAAAACAAGCTATTTGGGCAGTCAGTGCCCCACTTCTGGGCTGATTGGGCAGGAGAGAACTCCAGCACACTATGACTCTCAGGAACGCGCGTCATTCCGGGCAAGTCGCTGGTCGGCCATGACCACGCGGGAGCTAGAACCGAAGCGGCTGGGGGCGGTCGGCCCACGGTCTCCCTGGAGACCAGGCGGAAGCAGCCGGAAGCTGCGCTGCGGTCGGCCTCGGCGGGATGGTGAAGATGGAGGTGGAGCCCGAGATGGAGAGCGGTAGCGACGAGGAAGAGGACGAGGCTTGGGCCATGGAGCTGGCAGACGTGGGGGCGGCAGACGGCTCGCAGGGTGCGCTGGGGCCTGAGGAGCCCGGCGGCCTCCCTGGGTGCAAATGAGAAGGGCGGGGCGGGCGGATGCCCGGGGCGGCAGTCGTTGGGGCGCGACAGCCTCCGCCCCGCTCGCTCCTTTCGGCTTCCTGGCCCCTCCAACAGAGGGCTGCCTCCTTCTGCTGTGTTTCGCAACGAGCACCTGAAGTGAGACGGCTTCACCCAGTAGGAGTAGTGTGGGGCACGTCAACACAACAGATGCGTGCTGAGGGCGCATCTGTCCCTTCCTCTTCACCTCCGTGGAGGTGGGGGCGGGGAACCCTCAACCAACGGATGAAAACTGCAGAGGCTGCCGGGCAGTGTCAGGTTGGAGAAGTTGAGGACTTAGTCGCTCACTTGGCGGAGGTTGGGATCCGACCTCAGCCCTGGAGGGAAGGGATGGCTTGGAACCTAGGAGGAGGCACGTCCGTCCACTGTGGTCGCCTCTTCGTTGACCCACCTCTAGCTTCTGGTCCCTACCTCGAACCGCCCACTCCAGGGCCTGGAGGCAAAGGCACTGGTTCTCATCCCCTGCTTTGTTTGTTTAATTTTGAAATAATTTTAGATTTACCTAAAGTTGCAGAGATAGATTCCCCTAACATTAACATAAACTTAGTACATTTGTCAAAACGAGAAAATTAACATTGGTATAATACTGTGTATTATACTACACGCTTTATTCAGATGTTATCAATTTTTTCTCAGTTCTTTCTCAGTTCCAGGATCCAAACCAGAATATCACATTCCATTTAGCCTGCCTTATTCAGTGTTGTAAGAGTCGCCTCTGTCATCTCTTCCCCCAACGCATGACCTAAGCTGCTTCTTAAAATCAAAGAAATATTTATTCAGTCTTTCAATTTAGTATTTATTGATGGTCGATTATACTCCAGACACTGTTTTAGGCACTGGAGATTTAGCACTAAGCCAGATAATTCTGCTGTCATATGGGAGTTAAATATAGTCCACTGGAACCCACAAATTGTCTTCTGCTATATTGTATTTCAGAATATTTTTTAAGTGTAAGGACGTACCACTTAGAATAATTTTCAAGTTGGTTAAAGTCAATGTTGTTTCAGCTTTTCTGCCCCTTCTGATTTACTCTAAGCTTCCAAGTGATAGTATTAACTCTTGCTATTAGTTCATCTATTATTGGTCCGTATATATATATTTTTGCCTCAAATTTATTGCTATCCTGAGAAAATGCTGTGCAAAAAGAAATGCTAATTAAGTAAACAGTACTAAAGACCCTAGTATAGGTGGGGTTTCATGTCTGTAATTTTTAGATGCTTTGACACATAAATAAATCCGGGAAAAAGCTTACAAGTCTTTATTCTTTCACAGATACCATGTTTTAAGAAACAGCCTGAACATATTTTTGTATTTCTTGCATATTGTGCAGGAGTTGACAATCAAGTGTTGCCAACAGGAATTTCTTCATCCAGAGTCATAGTACACCTGGATCTGGATTGTTTTTATGCACAAGTAGAAATGATATCAAATCCAGAACTAAAAGACAAACCTTTAGGTAACTGTAAACATTGATAATATTTTATTGTATAATAAGATTAGCTTATTGTAATATAATAAGCATTTGTGATGCTTATATATATTATATTCTGATTTATTAACCATATTAAGAAAGATTTTGGAAGCAATTCTTATGGTACTTTATAAGTGATCATCTTTGCTTCACTACTAAATGTAAACTTTATAAGCCTCATTTAATAAGTGGTGAATCTGGTCGGGTACAGTGTCTCACGTCTGTAATCCTAGGATTTGGGGAGGCTGAGGTGGGAGGATTGAGGCCAGTAGTTTGAGACCAGCCTGAGCAGGAGTGAGACCCCGTCTCTAGATAGAAAAGTTAGTTGGGGTTGGTGGTGTGTACTTGGTAGTCCCAGCTTCTAGAGAGGCTGAGGCAGGAAGATTGCCTGAGCCCAGGAGTTTGAGGTTGTGGTGAGCCATGATGACACCATTGCACTCTATCCCAAGTGACAGAGCTAGAACCTGTTTTAAAAAAAAAAATAAGTGGTGAATCTGAGATTAGTATAGTTAACTGAACAAATGAACAGAAAGCAGAATAAACTTTTAGTCTATGCTAGTTAGTAGCTTAGTTTGCTAGGGAGATTTCATTTTCTCGGTGTTTGAAATTTTATAAGCTTTGTATCTCAGCAAACTCTTTTATTACATTTTAATGGAAGTTTCATCTACCCTCCATTTCTGAAATTAACTCTTAAAATGTGTAACGTCTAACAAAATAGTGGAATTTTTAACAGAACCCTAAATATTAAGACAGAGCAAGCTTTCCATGAAAACATAAGTATCTTTTTAAATAAAAGGCAAAGAAAAATTTTACATGGAGTATTTACTTATTGATGTTAGCTTGTTTTAACATTATTATTCATATTTTAAAGTGGGAAAGGGAAAGAGAAGAAAGATTCTTTCATGCATGCAGGAAGGGTTCATTTTTTATTGTAAGCATAAAGAACAATTTTGGTTCACTGGCTGCTATCCTCTTGTGCCTGGTTTAGCTTAATAAATCCCAATACAGCCTAGCTGATTTACCAAAGAACAAAAGGATGACTAATTTTTGCTATGCCAAGGTGGGTCTAGGATCTTTAGACTTTACTAACGGTGTCAAAGAATTAGAAGCAAGGGACCTAATTTTTTTCTCCTGAAGGAATTTTTAATTAGTAGTATTGAGACATAAGATGCTTTGTAGATAGTTCTTAAAAGGTGTGTAATTAAGTATGAATGAATGATTATTGGGAAGTGAGAGAGAATGCTCAGCTTCTTGATCAAAACAAAAGTAGTCTTTTGTTTATACTCTAGAAATATATATGACCAGCTCAGGCTGGTGACATATGGTGATGGGTTCATATAATATAATTGTGCATTAAAAGACTCCTTTTTAAGTTAAGAAATTTACCACTCTGATTTTTTTTAATAGTTCACTGAGGAGCTTTAAATTTTACCTTTGACTCGGTGATTACATTTTTGGGTATAACCTGATACATGAAAAAACTTTATGTGAAAATGTTTCTTTACCTTGTTGATAGTATCAAAATTTTAGAAACAACTTAAAACTTATTTGCTTTTCTCTTTCTAAACAAGTTGACTACCTGCTGCTGTAAGAGCAGTGTTTATTTAAAATACGTAAAATGCGAACATGTAGAAAAAAAGGTTATATCCATCCTCCTAATGTTAGACATTTTAAATTTTTTCTTAAGTTACCGGTAAAGCAGAACTTTTATGCAGTCTGTAGATGATCATAATGTAGTCATTTTTGATAGGGAGAGAGCTCATAATGCCTCCTCACTGTCTAATCTGCAGATTACTATTAATATAAAGAACAGTTCAGTAATTAGGACATTAATTGGGAGATGATCCCTAACAATTATAGTTTGACACTTGTGACAAAACATTGCTTTATATTCATTGGCAAGTTACTCAGAAGATAAGTGAGTTTTTCAAACAGCAACCAGTTTAATTGTACTTAATTATTTTCATCTGGTTTATTTTTTGGTAAAACATGCCCTAGAGTTATATATGGCAGTATAAATTAATCTGCTTTTATAGTGTCTATAAAATTGTGTCTTATCACTGAAGATTCCGTAGAATATATTGATTTATGTTCATTTTTGTTAAATTCGAGAACTGTAATGCAGAGATGCCTTTTGTATACGAATAACTGATTGATCATCTAACATGTAATTCTATTCAGGGTTTTGTTATTTAATAATAACTTTCCTTTTTCCCCAAGTAGACAAAGCAATCAAAGATTAAAAGAAGGTTGTGGAAAAAGAATATATTGATATATTACAATTCAGAACTAGGAAATGATTTGAAAACCTGACATTTCTGCATTGTAGAATTTCAATGAGAGGGGGCTATATTTTTTAGCTAAGACAGTGCTTTTTATTCTTATCAAAACAGGTTGCCTTACAATTTATACAATTATAATATGGAATTAGTAAATAATATTTTTAAATGTTTCTTAAGTCCTGCTTGGTTTTCTCATAAAATATTTATTTTTTACAGGAGTTCAGCAAAAAAATTCTGTGGTTACCTGCAACTATGAAGCTAGGAAACTTGGAGTTGGGAAACTTATGAGTGTCAGAGATGCAAAAGAAAAGTGTCCACAGCTGGTATTAGTTAATGGAGAAGACTTGACCCGTTACAGAGAGATGTCTTATAAAGTTACAGGTACAAATTATAGGCAGTATACTGATAGCATTAATCTTTATATAGGATGCCTATTCACTACAGTAATCATTTTATAAATGTAAAATGCTGTAAGTCATGTTCCTTTTCCCTAATCACTTTTTATTTTTGGTCTTCTCCACTTTAAAAACTATATAAGAGGATGACTTTATATGTTATGAGTAATGTTTTCAAGAAAATGTGTAGTTGGAAATAATTTGAACTGTCATGACTAATGTTTATAAAGGTAGCAGGAAAAAATGTAAAAGTTTATAAGTGAGAAAATGGGAAAATATACTATAAAGGAAACCATATATTTTTATTTTAAATAAATTATGAAGAAATATGGTATTCTCTAATGCACTAATGATAGCTGGGAGAAGCTTCTGTAATGTTTGATCAGCATAATTAAAAACTGATTTTTTTATGAACTATTAGCAAAAATAATGTGTGTATTAATATTTGCTTAGATTTTACATATATACTACATACTACAATGTAGCTAAACTCTACTATGTTAAGGTTTGGGTTTGAATCTTAGTGTTTTAGTAAATTAGAGGAAAAATGAAAATATGTGTACAAATATATATGGTTTCAAAATATATAAGGAGGATCAGTTTTGCATTTATTTATCTTTTTTACTATTTTTATTTAATTGTGGTAGTTTTCAGATGAAAAGGTTAAATATTTATAATATACATAGTTCGTAGAAATTAACAGGAAAAAGAAGCCCAATAAAAATGGACAAAGGATATGAAGAGCCTACCCAGTGTCTAACAATTATATGGAAAAATGTGCTCAAATCCATTAGTGCCTAAGGAGATTTGAATAAGTAATGTATTATTTTATATCCGTCATACTTGCCAAACTATAAAAAGAATGTGAGAAAAAAAAAATCAATAAACATTTCCTGAAATTAAAGATACATAGTTTTCAACCCAGTGATATCACTATTGGGAGTTTATCAAATATAAATAAAATCACAAGTACATAAAGACATATATACAGAAATATTTATTGTAGCATGGTTTATAATTGGCAGAAATATGGAAGGAAAAATGCCCATCGAGAGGAGAATGGCTAAATAAACACTTCCATGTGATGGATATTATATAGCCATTAAAAAGAATGTATTGGTGCAGTACTGTTTGATAGAGATACGCCTTGTTGAGTGAATAAAAGGCAAGATGAAAAATCGTATATCACATTTTTCCATATGTGTAAAATAATGTCTCAAACGCCTTCCCAACATATATGTATATGTCTGTATAACACAGGAGGATATGTACTAGTTTTTTAACATTGATTAATGTGTCAGGGGAAAAGAAGCAGTGCTGAAATGCGAGGAAAGCAGAAGTAGGGATAGCCAAGCAGAAAAGATAAGACTGTACTCCTAAACATCATTTATGCATTTATGCAAAATTGTGGATGTGTGTAAGTATTAACTGCAGTTTTAGTGTTCACAGAAGTGCTTATATAATACATACAATTCTGCATCTTGCCTTTGTGCTTAATGATCTTTCATATCATTCATAGAGCTCTTCCTCATTGTTTTTAATGCCTACACAGTATTCCATTGTATGTGTTCCATACTTATATTTAACCAGACCTTTAGTGATATTAAGGCAATATATTCCACTTTATTCGTGTTGTTGCTACATAATTATTAATTGTACCTTTTTTCACTCAAAAAATGCTTGTTTTGGATGATAAATTATATGGTTTACTTGATTATTAGGCTATTACCAGGTTTTTGCTCTAATATATGCTGTAGTAGACATTTTCATATAGAAATTTTAGCATACTTTTAAGGGGATAGCCATAGGAAAGTTCCTATTGCTGGATCAAGTGTCATTTGCATTTAAAATTTTGAATACTGCTATATGTAGCACTTGAAGTTGTCCCAACATATTGCTAGCACGTATAAGAGTGTTACATAGGTAGGCCGGGCGTGGTGGCTCACGCTTGTAATCCTAGCACTTTGGGAGAGGCGGGCGGATTGCTCAAGGTCAGGAGTTCGAAACCAGCCTGAGCGAGACCCCGTCTCTACCAAAAATAGAAATAAATTAATTGACCAACTAAAAATATATATACAAAAAATTAGCCGGGCATGGTGGCGCATGCCTGTAGTCCCAGCTACTCAGGAGGCTGAGGCAGTAGGATCGCTGAGCCCCGGAGATTGAGGTTGCTGTGAGCCAGGCTGACGCCACGGCACTCACTCTAGCCTGGGCAACAAAGTGAGACTCTGTCTCAAAAAAAAAAAAAAAAAAAAAGAGTGTTACATAAAGAATCTTTGCCTGATAGGTGAAAAATAGTAAATCATTGTTTTGATTTGCATTTCTCTATCAGTAAGGCTGAGCATTTTTTCCATGTATTTTTGGCCTTATTTATTTATTCTACAAACAACCTATTTATTTATTTATTCTGTGAACATCCTATTCACTTGGCCTATTTTTTATTTGGATTGCTCTTTTTCTAATTGGATTGTGTCTGTTCTTGGAAATTAAGAAAATTAGCCATTTGATGCCTGTGTTATAAATACATTCCCAGTTTATCTTTTGTCTTTTTTACTTTATTTATGATGTCAGATTTATCAGTCTTTCCATTCTGACTTCTGTGCCTCTGCACCTTTTCCTTGTGAAAATATCATACTGGAAATTCAGTGAGTAAATCTGACTTTTTACACTGATTTTTAATTTATCAAGTATCTTTAAAGAATTAAAAATGCACTGTATAACAACTAGGAATATTTTATAAATGACTTGTTCATTAATAAAAAGTTATTTTATGTTAATTTTTCTCATAGTATTTTTCTGAGTTAAAGTAGGAACATATCTAGTTAGTCCTATGCCATGTTTATGTCTGACCTGGTTATGATATATAACCTTCTTGTTTATTTTGTATTTTTATTCCAGAGCACACATACCTTTTTTCTAGGTAGTTTTTTTCCCTCTAATTATGAACACGCTTGGGCCTTGCATAATTATATATTGAATAAATGTATCTTGTTTATGAAGTTGACAGTAAAATAAGAGGTTAACTTCAGGAATGGGATAGGTAGAGATTTGTCCTGTAACCTAGTAATAATAAACCAATAAAATCAATATTTAGTCATCCAGCAACTTTGTGCGTGCTTCTGTATTTAACTTCCTTTTCTGCTTAGTGCTTAAAGCCTTATCCTTTATTTTTCTTAGTATTCTTTTGATAAGCTGTTTTGTTTTCTATATGTTACTTTGGATATTAAGTATATACTTTTGAAAAAAATTGTAGAAATCGATGAGGGAAATGCAAAACAATCCTGTTATGTGATCAGACACATTGTCAGTTTCTCCGGAAAGGAGGTAATGGTTTTCACTAGGTAGCTTGGATGATTTTTGGTATTCACCAGGTCACATTGTTATCTTTATTATTTTTTCCTGATATCATCAATGTTGGCATTAATAAAACAAAACCACATTTTTAGTATTTGTAAAAAAAAGTGATCTGTGTGGAATGACATAGTTCTTTTATTTCTTAGTATCCAAAAAAGGGTATATGAAGAGATTTATTGGTTTTCTGTCATCCAACTGGTGTCAGTACAAGGCAATTCAGAGGGAAATGAAAAATTCTTCTCAATGATTTTATTTTATTTTATTTTTTTGAGATAGAGTCTTTGTTGCCCAGGCTAGAGTGAGTGCCCTGGCATCAGCCTAGCTCACAGCAACCTCAAACTCCTGGGCTCAAGCAATCCTGCTGCCTCAGCCTCCCGAGTAGCTGGGACTAGAGGCATGCACCACCGTGCCCGGCTATTTTTTCCTATATATATTAGTTGGCCAATTAATTTCTTTCTATTTATAGTAGAGATGGGGTCTCACTCTTGCTCAGGCTAGTTTCGAACTCCTGACCTCGAGCATCTGCCCGCCTCGGTCTCCCAGAGTGCTAAGATTACGGGTGTGAGCCGCTGCGCCCGCCTTCTTCTCAATGATTTTAAAGTTATTCCTAATCCTATTATATGAGAATTGATAGTTCTTTTGAATTTATTTTGAATTTTCATTCATTTCACTTTAGTAAACATTTGACTTCAGACCACAGATTGTGCTAGGTGGTGGACATTTGAGTACCTGTAAGTTGTGGTCCATCTCTACTTCTCTGTCCTTAAGACATGTCCTTATGCAATGAAATGGCTAATCAAAATGCCATATTGTAGTGTATTTTGAAAATTAAGTGACTTTCTGTTTGACTCAGTAATAATTAGAAATTTTAAATGTTATTTTGTTTTGCTTTTTAAAAATTCTTTTGGAAAATATAGCTATAATATATTATTACTTATTTTTACTTTCCTAAGCAAACTGTATTTTATTCTTTGATTCTGCTTCAGGATCATACATAAACTATAATCATTGATATTTAATGTCCTAAAGATACAGAAATTATAGGTATAGAAGACTGAGCTAAGTATATTGCCATGAGTAACTGCCTTGGGAATGTCATTTTTTGACTTGTTGCAAAATATTGCCTCTACTCAAAATGTGGTAACAAAAAAAAAGTCAACTAAGGGCTTTATTAAAGATATTGTAGAACTGTGACTATATGTAAAGTGTTTAACAATATATTTGATGTATTTTTTAAACATTGAATAGTTAAATTTATTTTAGTTAAAACATCAATTACATATGTGCTTCAATATTATTTCAATTTAGAATTGTTAAAAGAATTTAGTCCTCTTGTTGAGAGACTTGGATTTGATGAAAATTTTGTGGATCTAACAGAAATGGTTGAGAAGAGACTAAAGCAGCTTCAACATGATGAACTTTCTGCAGTGAGTGTGTCGGGTCATGTATACAATAATCAGTGTGAGTGGGTTCTTATTTTATTTAGTAACTAAAAGTACATACATTTCTTAATGTTCAGTGAGTTTGCTCTGGCATTCTGAAGGATTTATGACTTTTGTTGGAGGTATAGTTATATTTATGTAGTAATCTGTTTAGGATAACTAAAACTAGGTGTTGCTATTCCATAATAAGTATTCAGATTTTAATGATATGTGTTTATTCAATTCTCCATGCAGTTTTCATCTCTGTGACACAGTGCATCTGTTCAAAAAGCCATAGCTAGCTGGGTACAGTGGTATGGACCTGTAGTCCCAGATACTTGGGAGGCCAAGGCAGAAGGATCACTTGAGCCCAGAAGTTTCAAGTCCACCCTGGGCAACAAGCGAGAGCCCATCTCTAAAACAAACAAAAAGCTAGATTGCTTTAGGTCATCTTTAAGTTACAGGTGTTGGCTTGTTAATATGCTTTTTAGAATAATTTTTGATTCTCCTAAAATGATCTCTAAACAAAATTTTGAGGTAGGCTAAACTTGCATTTAATGTGTCTTCTGTGTGTTCCATTCTATTCCCCTGAGGTCTCAACCCTCATGTTGCTCTTCAACTTCCCACATTACCAATTTTGAAATTTTGTACGAGCCATCTGCTATGTGCTAATATCTTCTTCAAGCTTCTATTTAATCAGTTGAAACAATATTTTCTAATTCTTAGCAAGAAAGTATAATGTCTTATCTCTTTCACATATTAAGGTGTGATTGACTGATGGTGCTTCCAGTCATATTTGCATTTGAAAATAAGCTGTAGTAAGCACCAGTGACTATCTAGTTATTAGGCTTTCAGACGTCTTATGACTCAGCTGGTGACTCCCATATCATACCGCATGCAAGATAAGTTACTCTGCTTTTGTGTAAGACTTGACTAACCCTGTTCCTCCTAGGTCTCCTAGCATGTGTATTCTATTATCTATCCCCGTTTTTGTGAGCTGGATGTTAGTCTCCAGTATAGTTCTCCACAGAAGAAAAAGGGTAGAGCCACAGTTTCTAGAAGACATGAAGCTTTTGATGTGTCTTTTGTACAGGTGCTCTTTATTCACTTACAAGGACTAAGTAACAAGAAGATTCCAAATATATTTCTATATGATTTTTAAAGCAAATTCAGAATTTATTTTAGAATTTATTATAGAGAGCTAGTTTTTATATCCCCAAAAGAAAATGTCCAATAATTTATTAATTCTTCCTTTTCCACACAAGATTTTATCAAAGTTTTTCCTTTGAGTCTATAGAAAAGGTAACAGAACGGTACAGTGAACACCCATTATGTCTTTTCTTGTAGATATACCAGTTGTTATCATTTTGCTACATTTGCTTTATCTTGCCCTCTCTGTGGATTGGTCAATTGATGAGCATTTGAAAGTAAATTGCAGGCATCATGACATTCATCCCTAAATACTTCTAGCATGAGTCTCTTGAGGATAACAATGGTTTTATATAATCCCAACACCATTTCATGCTTAAGGAAATGTGTTTCTATATAATTTCTCTACATTTTTCATAAAAGATCTCTTAAACTATTTAGAGGTCAGAAATTGTTTTCAGCAGCACGTACGGCTGGTACATAAAGTTTAGTTTAGGTCTTTAAAACTATGATATTAGCTTTCTTATTAGATGATAATACTTTTACATTTATGCTTACTTACAGGTAAATGTGAGTAAAAGTTACTAATATCAGTAGGAATTTTTTTATGAGATCAGGTTTCATAATCTGCTAATCATTAAGCACTTACAGTATACATTCACTATCACAGGCCCTTGGAATTCACTTGTGGCATTTATTTACAGTATTCTCATGAAGAATGAAAGAGCTTAGTCAAAGGTGGCGGTAGTGTCTTAGTCTGTTTTGTGTTGGTATAACAGAATACCTGAGACCAGATAATTTATAAAGAATAAAGGTTTATTTGGCTCATGATTCTGATGGCTAGAAAATTCAAGATTGGGCTTTGCCTCTGGTGAGGGTCTCAGGTTGCCTCCACTTAGGGTAGAAGGTGAAGAGGAGCTGGTGTGTACAGAGATCATGTGGCAAGAGAGAAAGCAAGATACAGAGAGGACAGGTGCTAGGCTCTTAAACAATCAGCTCTTGTGGGAACTAATAGAGTGAGAACTCATTCACCCCTGAGGGAGGGCATTAATCTATTCATGAGAGATCTACCCACATGACCCAAACACTTCCCATTATGTCCCACCTCTAACATTGGGGATTAAATTTCAACATGAGTTTTTGAGGGGACAAACATCCAAATCATTGGTAGTGATGATGACGGTGGTGGCAGTGGCGGTGATGGTGGTGGTAGGGTTTGGGATATACACTAAGCCCATACCTTTTAATATTTTTGTAAAAAAATAATTAAAATTTTTTGTTGTGACTTTTAACCACACTTACTGTTTTTTATAGCTATAAACCTGCATGACATCTTGCACATCAGACTACTTGTTGGATCTCAGATTGCAGCAGAGATGCGGGAAGCCATGTATAATCAGTTGGGGCTCACTGGCTGTGCTGGAGTGGCTTCTAATAAACTGTTGGCAAAATTAGTTTCTGGCGTCTTTAAACCAAATCAGCAGACAGTCTTATTACCTGAAAGTTGTCAAAATATTATTCACAGTTTGAACCACATAAAGGAAATACCTGGTAAGACAAATATATGAAATATATTTGTGTTTTATATATTTAAAATATATATAATAAAATATATATTTTATATAAAATATATGAAATATAAAATAATGAAAAGTATACATTGATTTTTTTAATTTTAAAAAGTTATAAACAATATAATTAATTCTTAGACATATGTACTTGGCTCTTGGAGAAAACCAAAAAATCATGTTTTTTGGAACAAATCTGTATTTGGAAATATGTGAAAGTACTTTTCTAGTTTCACTTTTGTATAGTTAAAATATGATCATAAAAGTTATAACCTAGAAACCATATGGTCCTTTATTTCCCATCCTTGGTTCATACTCTTACATTGTACATTGCATCTGGATGGGGGAGTTTGCTTTTTACTAACTCTCTTTTGGGACTATATATAAAATATTAGTATTACAATGGACCTTCCAAAGCTTCTAGGTCAAGTTCCTTATTTTAAAGATGAGGAAATGGATTTCCTTGAGGGGTTCAGTGACTTATTTAGGTCGTGGGGCAATTTTGTATCTTCGAAGATCAAAATACCTTAGTTTTTATGGACCATCAATAATGGATATGTTGAACTTAATTTCTGTGGTATTACTGGGGAATAAGATGTTATAAACGAATTCTATGGAAGTACATTTCTAAGACAACTGAAAATCAGTCCTTTAAAAGTTATAACCACATTTTTAACCCATGTTTGTGTGATTCCAAAATGTATTATACACTGCCTTGCCTTCCTTAGTATAGAAGCATATTAATTATATTAATAATTTGAAGTTTTTTGGATGACTGGTTCTATGTTCTGAAGAACGATGTCAGGTGGTAATAAATTGAGGACTATCTACTGATGCAAACATTCTTACTTGGCTTTACTTTGAGTTCTCATATCTGGTTTTTTTTTTTTTTTTTTTTTCAGGCTTTCTACTTTCTCCCTTATTGCCAAATGTCTAACCTTTTATTTCTGCTGTGAAAATATCCATCATTCCACTTTAATAATTTCCCCTATACACTCACCTGCTCTGACTTACTGCCTTTACTGTGCAAGAAAACCAGACAACTGTAGAATTATTATTTTGTTAAATGAAAGTAATAAAGAGACACTAAATGACTTGAGTATCTTCTGTAAATAAAGTATGACTGAATTTTAGTGCGAGAACTTTGTGTGAGGGGTTTTGCTAATAAGATTTTTTGATTGTTTGCTTTCTGGCTCTTAGTTGTATTCTGTATGATAAATACTGCTATTAATAAATATGACTTGTGGATAAATGTGTAGTGTTGTGTATAGGAATCAGGTTACCTAATAAGCACACATTAATTAATTTGAATTGCTCTAATGACAGTCTTTTTTTAAATTAATAATCATTATTCCTGAATTACTTCCATAGTACTACATTAATATTATATAATAGGTGGTAAAAATTTCATTTTAGCAAAATAGCATTTATTTGTTGTCCCTATATTCATAATATTGTACATGTTGTGAGAGCTTCAAAGAGGTACATATAACTTAGTAGAAGAGTAATAGCCTAATTTGTGATGGCCTTTGATCCTAGAAAAATACTGTAGTCCTACCTTATCTGTGGTTTTGCTTTTCTTGGTTTCAGTTACCCTCAGTAAACCATGGTCTGAAAATATTAAGATATTTTGAGAGAGAGACAGAGACTACATTCATATAACTTTTATTGTGGTGCATTGTTATACTTGTTCCATTTTATTATTAGTTATTGTTAATCTCTTACTATGCCTAATTTATAAATTAAACTTTATCATATGTATATAACGTAAGGGAACAAACATATAGGGTTTGGTACTATCCACAGTTTCAGGAATCCACTGAGGGTCTTGGAGTGTATCCCCCTATGGATAAGGGGAAACTACTGTGTTAATTATAGAACTTAAAGATATGACTTTATATGTTTATAATATTTTAATTAGCTTTGTTTTAAGGAGAAAAGCTATTGCAACACTATCTGCATTTCTTTTTATTTAGGTATTGGCTATAAAACTACCAAACGTCTTGAGGCACTGGGGATCAGTAGTGTGCATGATCTCCAAACCTGTTCGTCCAAAATATTAGAAAAAGAATTAGGAAGTTCAGTTGCTCAGCGTATCCAGAAGCTCAGTTTTGGAGAGGATAACTCTCCTGTGACACCTTCAGGACCACCTCAGGTACGTGATGGTTTTTATTTTAATTGAGTACTGGTTATCACATTATTTGTGATAAAGATTTCTACATTTAGTACCATGTTTTTACTATTCTAGTTTGCTTTTTAGGTTAGTATATAATCCCTTTCCTATGGGAAGGCTGATTTATTATATTAGATTAATAAATGCTCTTAAATTGAATCTTAAGCATTAATTTTTTTTTTTTTGAAACAGAGTCTTGCTTTGTTGCCCAGGCTAGAGTGAGTGCCATGACATCAGCCTAGCTCACAGCAACCTCAGTCTCCTGGGCTCAAGCAATCCTGCTGCCTCAGCCTCCCGAGTAGCTGGGACTACAGGGCATGCGCCACCATGCCCGGCTAATTTTTTCTATATATTTTTAGTTGGCCAATTAATTTATTTCTATTTATAGTAGAGACGGGGTCTTGCTCTTGCTTAGGCTGGTTTTGAACTCCTGACCTTGAGCAATCCACCCGCCTCGGCCTCTCAGAGTACTAGGATCACAGGCGTGAGCCACCACGCCTGGCCAGGCATTAATATTTTTAAGTCTCAAGTTAGCTACTTAAATTGAATACAGTACAACTTAATTTCAATAGCTTATAATGCATATATGAGGGAAAATATTTTAATCTTTTAAAACTCTTGTTTTTAGAGTAGTCCAATAACTTAGGAAATGAGGAAAGGTATAATCATCCAGTTAACATTGAGTGATTTTCTTCCTTTGTGGCAAGTACTTTATTAAGTGCTTTATATACATTTATCCATTTAATCTTTACTACAAACCTTTGAGGTCAGTAATACTATTGTTTGTTTGTTTCTTTCTGCCTCCCCTTTTTTCTTTTCTTTTTTTTAAGATGGGGATACTGTACTTTAGAAAGGTTAAATAACTTATCTGAGGGTAAACTCAGATTGAAGTTCTAGGAGATTAAGAGCTTCGCTGTTATGCAATAAAACTTGGAGTTGGTACTAGAGCTTTGTAATTTTCTTGACATCCAATACACTTTCTAGTGGGATACAATAACTTGCAGATTAAAGACTTAATATAAAAGTGAAATAAATGGATTAAACTAAGGAGACAGGAGATAAGTTTGTAAAGAATGTGTTGAATATTTATTTGACATATATACTGTTGATAGTTGAATATACTTACGTGAGTTTACATTAATCCTTACTTATGCTTCTTTGGTAGTCCTTTAGTGAAGAAGATTCATTTAAAAAATGTTCATCAGAAGTCGAAGTGAAAAAAAAGATTGAAGAACTACTTGCTTGTCTTTTGAACAGGTGATTTTGAATCCATTTTTCCAAGTCATCTTACATATTGATTCTATATACAGTATTTGGAAAGCATACTTAATGTCCTTTCTTGAAATTTACAGATTAATTGGTGACTAAGCAATATAAAGAGAGATGATTTATCACAGGATTTCTCTGCATCATAAACTACTGTAAAGATAGTAATAGGTACTCTTGGCTCAATTTAATCCATCTTAATTGGGGGTGGGTCTTAAGTGGGTATTAATTTTAGTAACACTGTGGTTATACTGTGGATCTTAAGCCTCAGTTTGTTACCTAAAGGGGTTTTATGGATATCTCTAATAATCTTAAATCTATTCTAGTCCTTTGGTGAGAAGGAAGAAATTTTAATTTTTTTCCTGTGGCAATTGCAAAGCCTGTGCCTAATAATTACTTACATTTCAGTAAGAGATAAAAAATGCAAAGGAATAATTCCATCACAATTTAAAAACTCCATATATAGGAACAGGTATATACATTTGTGATGGTTGAGAATAAGAGCAACATTAAAGCAACAGTGGTGGAGAAAGCAGAAGAACCCTTATATCTCCTTTGCCTCAGACTATGAAAGAACATGGTGTTAGAGGAAGGAATGTCAAAATGGGGCTGTATGTGAACAGTGTGAGTAACTGCAGGTGTGTACAGGGCTTCTGAATCTGTAAGTACCTGGAGAGTGTCAACTGGGATTATGAATATATACATAGCATAACATAAAACTGAATGAGGAAGTTAGGTTTTTGATGGTCATTAATCGGCATCATACCTGTATTTCTCAGTACTTCACAGAAGAATATTATGTCTTTTTCTCCTAATTCTTTGATTTTCTTTTTCTTAGTAGAAATTTCTCAAATTGGGGTGTCAGGGTCTTAACAGTTTAGAATAGGTATGTTTTAATGATTCTAGGAGGGCTAACTGTATCTAGTTTTTGAATAGCTCTAAGTCTCAGAAAACTGATGAAGTGAAATTTCCTACAGCTTTGCTGTCACATGAAGCACGCTTCTCATGTCTTGAGCAGAGTTGTGCAGGTTACTGTTGGCTGCATGCAGTGGGGCTGGTTATGTGACCCAGCTCCAGCAATATGACTCAGGCTGGGCCTGCGAGCTTGTTAGTGAAACTGGGTCATTTGCTCTGCTTCAGCTAAGTGGAAGATTACTCTGAAATGCCTAGCCATTGGAAACAGTTCTTTACGTAGAGAAACCACATGAAATAGAAGTTTCACAGGTTTTCTTATTTGAAGAATAGACCCAGAAGTGAGAGTAGCTACTCTAAAGTTGTGAAATATGAGGTATAAACCATGTCTGTATGTCTGCTTGCCTGTTCCCATTCCCCCACACAATGGCCCCTTATTTCAGTGACTAAAATACATTACCATCTAAGTGACTGACAAAAAAATAATTACAGATGTGTGTGTTTATATAATTACTTATTTTTTTCTCTAGAGCATATGATGATTAATACTATAAGTATATAAGAAGTATAAAACCAAAAATGAGATTACAAAAAGAAAAAATACTTTTTACAAAATAGGATCATTTTTGTTAAAGTCAAGAGTACTCTCCAAATCCAAGAGAGCCAGTAATAGCACTCTAAAAGCTTTTAGTTATGTTTTGGATTATAAAACAGCTTATTAGATTATGTTTTATTTCTCTTTTAATTCTGCGAGTACTCAATTCTGAGGCCTGAGAGCCTTACATTTAAAGTTTCAGAGCGTTAGTGCATAGACTTTGTTGATATTTATTTGGGTATTTGGGGTATTTGGGGACCTTTATTGCTTACTATTTAGTTATCTACAGTTATCTACTATATGTATAATTGTTCTAGTTACTAAATATGATACCTTTAGGTAAATAAGGTGTTTGTTATACATTTAAAAAGTCTTTAGATAATACTTTTTCTAATTTCTTATTTCCACTTTATTTTTAGAGTATGCCTAGATGGAAGGAAACCCCACACAGTAAGATTAACACTCCGTCGGTATTCATCTGAGAAGTACTGGAGTCGTGAGAGTCGTCAGTGCCCTATTCCGTCTCATGTAATTCAGAAGTTAGGGAAAGGTATGGACTAGTTTTCTAAGAATTTTATTAGCATATAGGATTATATATACCCTGATAGAAAAAAATAATTTTATTAGTAGGTTGAACTCATAAAAAAACAAACTTTGAATTAGAAATATGCTCCAAAAATGGAGGGTCATCACAGGGAGTTAGTGAGAAATTAAATACTTTTATTCTATCAGGAATTTTCACTAGAAAACTATGTTGTTGTTTTTAAGTAGATAATAAAAGTAAAGACTCAGTTAAGAATGTTTCCCCAGTTCAAAGAGAACAAAACTATGATAATTATGGAGCAGGAAATAACTTCTTTATGGACACTTAGGTTGTTTATGTTTGGGGGCTGTTATTATAATAAGAATGGTGCTATGAACATCTGTGTGTAAATCATTGGGTGGGTATATATTTTCATTTATCATGGGTAGACTGCAAGGAGTGGAATTGCTGGGTCATATGACAAGATGAATGGTTTAAGAAACTGCCAAACTTTTTTTCCACAGTTGGTGTTAACAATTTACATTTTCACCAGCAATGTATAAGGGTTCCAGTTTTTCATATCCTCACCAATATTTGGTATTAGTAGTCTCTTTAATTACAGTTCTTCTAGTGGTTTGTAGTGGTATCGTGGTTTTTATTTTATGGATAGTGCTTTTGGTGTCATATCTAAAAATTCGTTGCCTAACTCAGAGGTCACAGACATTTTCTACTGTTTTCTTTTAGAAGTTTTATAGTTTTAAGCTTTATGTTTAGGTCGATTTTGAGTTAATTTTTTAGGTGCAGTGTAAGATAGGGTCTTCTTTCTTTTGCATATGGCTATCTAGTTGTTCCAGTAGTATTGTTGAAAAGACTATTTTTTACCCCTAAAATTGCCATGGCATCTTTGTCCAAAATTTATTGAACATAAATGCAAGATTTTTTTCTTGACTTTTTTGTTCCATTGATCTGTATGTTTATCCTTTATCAATTCTGCCCTGTCTTGATTACTATACATTTTGAAATTAGCTTTGTTCTTTTTCAAAATTGTTTTGGCTATTTATAGTTCTGGACTTCTGTTTATGGAAAGATTTTAAAGTAGTAATTTGGTTTCTTGTTAGACATCTATTCAGATTTTCGATTTATTTGAAGTCAGTTTTGATAACTTATGTCTTTTAGGAATTTTTGCATTTCATCCAAGTTGCCTAATTTGTTGGCATGAACTTATTAATATTCTCTTTAATCCTTTTAATTTTGTAGGGTCTATAGTATTATTCTCTTTTTTATTTCTGATTTTGATAATTTATATAGTCTTTTTTTGTCATTCTAGCTAAGATTTATCAATTTTGTTGATTTCTTCCAAGAGCCAACATTCAGTGTTATTGATTTCTCTGTTGTTTTTCTACTTTTTATTTTATTTGTTTCTGTTCTGATTTTTATATTTCTGCTTGCTTTAAGTTTAATTTGCCTTTTCCCCCTGGTTTCTTAAGGTGAGCACTTATTTATTTTATACTTCTTTTCTAATAACAAGTTTAAAGTTTTATGTTTCCTTTTAAGCAATGCTTTAACTGCATTTGATACATTTTTAAAGTTTATTTTCATAGATTTAGGGGGTCCACGTGTAGTTTTGTTACATAGATATAGTGTGTAGTGGTGAAGTCGGGGCTTTTAGTATCCCTGTCACCCGAATAGTGTACACTGTATCCAATAGGCAGTTTTTGATCCGTTAGCTCTCTATTCCCCCACTTTTCAGAGTTTCCAGTTGTCTATTATTCCATGTATTACATAAATTTTGTAGTGTTTATTTTTCATTAAGGTCAAAATAGTTTCTGATATGCCTTGTAAATTCTTTTTTGACCTCTAAATTTATTTAGAAATTTGTTATTAAATTTCCAAATATTTGATGATTTCCCAAATCTCCTTCTGTTGATTTCTAATTTAATTTCACATTGATTAGATAACATATTTTGAATAATTTCAATCTTTTTAAATATATTGAAACTTATTTTATGGCCTAACATATCATATATCCTATAGAATATTCCATTTGTTCTTGAAAAGAAGAGCAATAGTATCAAACAACTCAACTAAAATATTGATATTTGGGGCATTCTACCAAAACAGCACTTTCGAATGACAGTTTGGTTGGATATATGATTCTTGACAGTGTTTTTCATTCCATACTTTGAATATGTCACTTCACTATCTTTTGGTTTCCATTATTACTGATGAGTAGTTAGCTATGAATAGTTTTATCACTCACCTTCCAATCAGGAGAGAGGAACCACACAAGAATTTGAACAGGGAAAGTTTCAAATAAAGGATTATTAATATTAAACTATGATGGGGGGTGATATAAAGTTATAAAGAGAACTCTGAAAGGTATCCTAAAGCTGCGAAAAAATATCCGAGGGACAAACTTGAAAGGGACTCCCCTTTCCCCAAAGAGAAGATGTGGTTAAAGAATACTAAATGATGGAGATATCTGTGAGTTACCTGGCTTGGGGCTGGCCCATAGTCACTGTGCAAAAACATCATCCTCTCATCTGTGATAAGCTGAGGCTTGTGGGTGGGCATACAGAAGGAATCAAGATGTTGGTATCTTGCTCATTGGCAGGGCAGCACATGAGCTGGGATGTGTGTTCTCGATATTGGGAAGCTTCTAGAAACAGCCCTCCAGGGTTCAGGCAAGTTGAGACTGGTGGGTGGTTGTGCCAAAGGAGTCTGCATTCTGCACCACCTCAAAGGTGGAGAGGATGATTGTATAGGAAGGGCTAGAGGAAACAATGCTGTAGTTATAGGCAAGTCAAGGCTTTTGGGAGGGCAGGCATAGGGAGGTGAGGTATAGTTTATAGTACTGGCCTGGAGCATGCAGTGTTGGTAGGGCCCTGGTAAGGTGGTCACTAGGCCTGGGGCTCAGGATTGCTGAGGGACTACACATTCCACATGTATGTAATGTGGCAGAGCACTGCTGGAGGTCCCTACACTGCAAACAGACCATGCAACGGAATCAGGAAAAAGTGGCAGTACATCCGAACCAGGAAGAGAAGACCCCACCTCCTGCCCGGCTCCTCCAGTGCTTTCTACTAATAAAGTTTAACATCATGTTCATTGTTGAAACTTTTTAAAGGAGTCTAGTCCATTATTGAGGAGCAAGTACTGAAGGATGAATTTGGAGCTGAGAGACAATAAATTAACAGCCTGAATTGTATTGTTTTTTTCTTTTATGTGTTAAGTCATTTATCTTTCTGTCTTTATCTTTCAGCAGTTTATGACATGTCTAATGTGGAATCTCTGTGTTTATCCTACCTAGGATTCATTGAGCTTCTTGATTCTGTAGATGAATGTTATTTTTTAAAATGAAATTTGGGGAGTTTTTGGCTTCTGTTTCTTCAGATATTCTTTCCCTTTTTTCCCCCTTCTTCTCCTTCTGGGGTTTCCATCACACATGTTTGATTGAGCTGAGGTCTCTCATCCCATGTTGAGAGTGCAGTCTCACTCTGTCTGGTCTCACTCTGGTCTGTCACCCATGTTGGAGTGCAGGGCTTAAGCTATCTTCTAGCCTCAGTCTCTGGAATAGCTGGGACTATAGGCAGGCCTGTGCTACTGTGTCTTCTATTCATTTTCCTTCAGTCTTTTTTTTTTCCCCTTCAGAATGAATAATTTCTATTAAGCTATCTGAAATTCTCTGATTCATCTGTCATGTCAAAACTGCTTTTGCCCATCCAGTGATTTTTTTTGTATGTGTGACTTGGTTGCTGTGCTATTTTAACTTTAGAATTTCTTTTTGTCTTTTGTTTGCATGTTTAGCTCTGATAGTTTATTGAGATTCCCTTTTTTGGTAGTTGCTTTTATATTTTAATTCTTTATACATGATTTTCTTTAATCCTTTGGACATATCTATAATAGTGACTTTGAAGATTTTGTTAAATCCAGCTTAAAGTCAATTTATATTGACTGCTTTTCCCTCAAATATGGATCATGTCTTGCTGTTTCTTTGCATGTTTTGAACTATTTTATTGAAAACTAGACATTTAAGATAATGTAGCAACTTTGAATTTAGATTTCTTTCCTGTAGAGTTTTTTGTTTTTTTTTCTTTTCTTTCTTTGGTAACTTGTCTGAACTTCATCTTCAGAATCTACCTCTTCTGTTGTTGTGTAGCCACTGATTTCTGTGCTCAGTTGTATTTTTTTTTTTTTTAACTCAAATTTTTATTTTCTATTTTGGTTGCCCAGGAAGTTACCCATGTCTGTATAGTTTAGTGGTTAGCCAAAGATTGGTCAAAGGTTTTGCTCAAACACTAAAGCGTGGAACCTTTCACCCTCTGCCAATGGATAGGTTTATGGGTTAGAAAGCACTTTAAAAATTTAGACTATTTTCAAGTCTGCCTTTACTTTTATTTTCTACTAGGCTGTCTTGTATCTCCCCTGGGTATGCATATAGCCATTTCAATTAGGAATGTGTAGGGAGCTTAGGCCCTCTGTGGCCTCTCCTCCAGCTGCATGCAATCTCTCAATCAGCTAGGGTTGTGAAGAGAGCTTATCTAGTTCCTCTATGATTCTGTTATTTCCAGATCTCCTGGTTAAATTTCTAGCTAGTCTACTTATCTTTGACTTATCCCAACCACAACTAAAACCTCAGGCTAGCAAAACTGTGGGATTTCCCCATTCATTTCATACTGAGTTTGCTCATTTTACTGGCAAAACTGTTGTGTGGGCTTTTTATCTCTGCCTCAAATCAGGTGTGTCCTCTCTGGCAGTGAAGCTGGTGGCTTTTGGAGCCAGCCTCACCCTGGTGGAACTACTGTACCAACTAAGCTATGTAAAGGGGCATCAGAACAATCCCAGCCAATGAAGCTGTTGTCTCCTACTTTCTTATGTGACATCTAGCAGCTTTTCATAAGTTGGTGCTTCTCATTTTATTTGCTTTTGATTCCTTTCCAGATTCCCGAAATGGTGGTTTTCAACAATTTTGTTCAGTTTTATAGTGGTTTTTTAAGAGAGGATTTTCTCACCACATCACTGTACCATAACCAGAAATCCCATATTTCAAATCTTTTAAATACTTAACCTATTTGTTCTTTAGTATTAATGCTGACATGTCCCAGTTTTGCATATAATGTCAAGATGCCCAATGATACTTATTTAGTATTTTAATTTCTTAATCTAAACAATATAAATTATATTAAATTCTTAATACTAATTATGATATAATATGTTCAGCTATTTCTTCTTAAACATTTATTTAGGAAATTATGATGTGATGACCCCAATGGTTGATATAGTTATGAAACTTTTTCGGAATATGGTGAATGTGAAGATGCCATTTCATCTTACCCTTCTAAATGTGTGCTTCTGCAACCTTAAAGCACTAAATACTGCTAAGAAAGGGCCTATTGATTATTACTTAATGCCATCATTATCAACAACTTCACGCTCTGGCAAGCGCAGTTTTGTAAGTACACTCTTTTTTGTTATGTTTTGTAAGTATATTCTTACTGGATTTGTGTGGTTAAATTACAAATCTAAGCTAGTGTTTAACTGATCTAGTTTAGAGATTCTTTTGGGTGATATTGCTTGGATGATTTACTTGTTTATAGTACCTATCATGTTATAGTTCATGGCCTTGAATATATTGCGGTATTTGTTTAGGTGATTTACTTGTTCATTGTAGCTATCATATTATACATGCTGGCTTAAATATGCTGTGATCTAAGAAGAAAATGTAAATATCACTGAATAAAGGAAAATCATTATAGAGTTTCCCTGTTTTAGAAGTGTTAACACATTTTATAATAGTATATAGGGATATAATAGATTAGCTCAACAATATGAAAATATTTTCAGAGATTAGAAATTAAATCTTTTTGTCTATCAGTTTATAATAAGCTACCAGTACTTTTCCCACAATTTTTTTGTTGAAGTATTTAAATTTTCTTGGTTATATATTAGAAATTATATTGAATTCTGATAGCAATATTGATAGCATTGATTACTAATTTTACCGTTGTAAAAATTAACAGTGTGGCTATAGAATGGCAAATGGCTGTCACATTTTCAAATGACTAAAATAAAACCTGTTTATTATACAGATGAACCTCTATTTAGTAAATGTAGGATGCTTTAGAAAATAATCTTCTTTAACTTAATTATTAATGCTGATAATTAACTCTTAATTTTATTTTTTATCTACTCAGTATAATTTTAGTAATATTTTCATTTCCATTTAAGTTTAAAGTGAGAACAGAATAGTGTTATGGAAATAAATGAATACTCTCTTCAAATTACTTTTTTCTGTTACTCTTTTTATTCCATTTATTAAATTTTAAAAGGTATTATTTTTTACATTTTAATTAATTTATGGAATTAATTAAAGGTCCCTGATTTACAGTGGCATTAGAGAAGTAAATGTAAGTGAAATTACCTTGTATGCATTGGCACACAGTAGTTGCTCAGTAAATATAATGGCCTAATATCTTCCACTCCTTTTTGAAGTTAAGATCAGGTTGGTGTTTACTGAGTTATATTTGGCTGTTTATATTTTTATGGTATATAAAACTAAAGGGGAAATTTAAGTGAAAAAACTTTTTATAGAAAAATTAATGCAAGTTAGAATTGAAGGTGTTTTTAAATTTTTATTTTATGTAAATGTAAAATATTGTTATCTCTTAATGATGTTGAGCTTTTACTATAGAAATTTTTTTTTCTTTCTGTTAAATGTTATCCTATGGAATAGTAATTTTTGGAAAACTAGACCTTGATGCTCTATGTGTGTATTTTTTAAAACATACCATTGGGTGCATAACTTACTTTTTCTAGGCCACCATTCTTTTATTTACAGAATTTGGATACATGATTGTTAAGATCTTCCCAGGTCTCCAGATGCATACTTAACCTCTGGCTTAGTGCTATCTAGCAAGGGACCCTCTTCCTGGAATAGTGAATAAAAATCCACACAACAGTGTGACTAATTATGTAAGAGATCTCTTGTTGTTTGGGGAATTGACCACAAAGGATTGAAGTTGTTGAATAGGATGAAGCATGTTGTCAGATAATAGCTACAGGTACACTTCAGCAGCATGGATATTCTAAAGATATCAGATTTCTAAATTATTCTGTTATCCTTGTGTTTTAGAAAATGAAAGATACTCACATGGAAGATTTTTCCAAAGATAAAGAAACAAATCGTGATTTTCTACCAAGTGGAAGAATTGAAAGTACAAAAACTGGGGAGTCTCCACTAGATACTACAAATTTTGCTAAAGAAAAAGACATTAATGAATTCCCACTCTGTTCACTTCCTGAGGATGTTGACCAAGAAGTCTTTAAGCAACTTCCAGTAGATATTCAAGAAGAAATCCTTTCTGGAAAATCTAGAGAAAAATCTCAAGGGAAAGAAAATTTGAATTGTCCATTACATGCCTCTAGAGGAGTATTATCTTTCTTTTCAACAAAACAAGTGCAAGATAATCCCACAAATCCTAGAGATCATTTATTCAATAGCAAACAGGTATCCTCTGTATCTCCTTGTGAGCCTGGAACATCAGGCTTAAATAGCAGTAGTTCCTCTTACCTGTCTAGCCAAAAGGATTGCTCATATTGTTTAGATAATAGATTAAAAGATGAACGAATGAGTCAAGGACCTAAAGAACCTCAAGGATTCTACTTTTCAAATACAAACCCTGCTGTATCTGTTTTCCATTCATTTCCCAATTTGCAGAGTGAGCAACTTTTCTCCAAAAACCCAACTACAGATAGTCATAAGCAAACAATGGCAATAGTCTCTCATCATGAAAGACATACAGAAAATAGAGAACAAGATTCAGTTGATGAGAAAATCACTTTTCCTTCTGACATTGATCTTCAAGTTTTCTATGAACTACCAGAAGAAGTACAAAAGGAACTGTTGGCTGAGTGGAAGAGAACAGGATCAGATTTCCACATTGTACATAAATAAGCATGTTCAGAAAAAAGGTCTAAAAAGCAAAGGAAGTACCATTGTTCTAAGATTAGCAGTTTATTAAGCTCTTCTAAATTAAACACTAATAGATATTCAATAATGTAAAATCAAAGGTACAATGTTCCAGATAAAACACAAAATAGTTACGGGAAGTAAATTCTGGCACAAAGCATAAAAATGTTCATAACAGAAAAAATAATGTAAAATATTATCTTTCTCTATTTCTAAAGCTATTTTATATTGCTTTTCAATAAAAAGAGTATCATGGTCAACGCTAGTACATTTTTCATAGATTGGGGGGGAATATAAGATGCCAGTATATGAAAAATGACCAAAGGCTGGGTACAGTGGCTCACGCCTGTAATCCTAGCTCTTTGGGAGGCTGAGGTGAGAGGATCTTGAGGCTGGGAGTTCAAGACCAGCCTGGGCATCTTAGCAAGATCCTGTCTCTTAAAAAAAAAAAAAAAAAAAAAAGCCAGGCATGGTGGTACATGTCTGTAGTCCTAGCTACTTGGGAGGCTGAGGTAGAAGGATTGCAGGATTTTTGAGCCCAGGAGTTCAAGGCTATAGTAAGCTATGATCATACCACTACACTCTAGCCTGGATACTAGAATGAGACCCTGACTCTTTAAATAAATAAATAGCCAAATAATTGCTATGCTATAGTAAAGAACAATTTTTTTTCTTTGAAATATGGAATGAATGTCTCAAGAAATACAGCCTATTACAAATGGCCAAATGGGAAATTCTACTGCTAGCTAACCAGTTAAAAATACAGATTATCTTTGACTAAAGTACTACATACCATTTAATATGTTGACTTTTAAAAATCTAATCAAGATTAATGATTCCAGTCATACAAATAAAGCATTACATTTAGGTTTATTATTAACATTTCAACAGTTACTTTCAAACATAGGTATGTATTCTAAATGTTACCTAATAAAATCTATAAGCTTTCTGTTGATATTCTATCAAAATATAATTTTTTTATTATTATTGCAAAGGAATATGTTGGAGTAATCAATGATTGTGAAACCTATTTTACATATAAAAATTATTAACAAATTTCAAATTATTAAGTAGAGAGATTGACAGCATACATACTGAAAGAGTGTATAGATCGATCAATTTATGATGAAACATATATTCTTTTTGAGTCAACAGAAAAAAATGTGTGGTTTGTTTTGTGGAATTAGTTCATTAAGAGATAATTGCTATAAAAATTGGTACCTAGAAGTGGAGGGCTGCATGACAGAAACCTCAATATATGGTGTTTAGGCTTTTGGGCAGTAGGAGGTTGAGAAAACTGTTAGCAGAGGTTGGAATAATGGTGATGGAATTGTTTTAAGAAGCTGTTATGAAATACTTGGTTAAAAAAACCTGCCTGTGTAATGGTCAAAAACAAAATGTTCCTTAGACACTTTAGGCTTTGGCCTTGATCTCCAGGCAACATGTAGAGTGTGCCACCTGGTGGCACTATCCGCTGTATAGGTTTAAAATACAATAAGAAAAAGTGAAGCTTTTTAAAAGAGCTGGCCAATTTGCAAGTTCAAGGTAATATAAAAGAGTGAGGAGCTACTAAATTGAAGAGTAAAACTGTTGTCTTATCTCCAGGTAGCAAAAAGTCTTAAGTAAGACATGACCACAGGTCAAACATTACATGTAGGCTGTGACTATCAGATATGTTATTAAGACCAGAGAGTTAAGCAGCTGCTGAGTAGATCTCAGGTAGACAAAAGCTTAAGGGTGTGGTCCTACAGAATTCTGATCCAAAAGCAGCAGTAAGAAAGTCTGGAGAAGCATGTTGATACCAATTGTAGGTGTGGCTTTGGAGTATATAGTGGACCATAATCAGACACAGACACTCAGAAGTTTGAAAGGGAGTGGCACTTGCAAAAACACCAATGTCTGCACTAAAAGATAGTTCTAGCTATAAAAGTGCCTCTGGGCCCCTCACTTTATTTGGGTGGAAAGTGGCCTGAGAAAGTTACTCAACTGCTAAACAATGATTATTTCTTTAGAAAGAATAAAGAAGGGTGATGGGAAAAGGAGGACATATCAGATAGTGTCACTAAAAGCTGTGGAGAATAGTGAGTCAGGGAACAACTCCCAGAGAACAGAATTGGGGTCTACTTGGGAAACATTTTCCCATTGCTAGAATGGTAGCCCAGTGGGAATTCAAAATTCTTATGAACCAGTGACTTTATCCTTCCCATTCTTCCCACTTTCCGATATGAGTGCTTACTGTGGTTGTGCTGTTCCTTATTTATTATTGTTTATTGAGTGTGTGTTGAGGCTGAGGGCAGGTAACTTTCCTTCTTATTTCATAGCTCCCTAGATCAAGAGGAGTTGCATCTGGATCTAATGTATATCCTGAAATCCTAGACTTGAAGACAGACACTGTGATTGTATGAGACCTTTGGAGGCCTTGGGAGTGAGTGAGTGTACAGTAGTCTCCCCATCCGAGGTTTTGCTTTCTGTGGTTTCAGTTATTCATGGTCAACTGTAGTCCAAAAATATTAAAATGGACAATTCCAGAAATATAAACAATTCATAAGTTTTAAATAGTGCACAGTCCTGAATAGTGTGATGAAATCTCACATTGTCCTGCTAAGCCATTTCACTGGGACATGAATCATGCCTTTGTCCAGCATGTCTGTGCTGGAGAAGCTGTCCACCTGCTAGTCACTTAGGAACCATCCTGGTTATCAGATGAACAGATCATAAGAAGAGGAAAGGTGAGTACAGTTTAGTGATATTTTGAGAAAGAGACCACATCCATATAACTTTTATTACAGTATATTGTGATAATTGTTCTATTTTATTATTAGCTGTTAATCTCTTACTGTGCCTGATTTATAAATTAAACTTTGTACTGTATAGGAAAAAAACATAGTATATACAGGGTTTGGTCCTAGCCACAGTTTCAGCCGTACACTGGGGGTCTTGAAATGTATCCTCCATGGATAAGGGGGGACCTACTGTATTTTGCACGTGGAAGGAATGTGATTATGGCCAGAAGGTGAACTGGTAGATAAATTGCATTAATTGATTATGGTATATCAATTTTATTAATAGTCTCAATTCTTCACCTTTCCTTGTATCCACATCCCTTTACCACGCGATTTTACAGTTTTACTAAAAAGGCAAATTCTTTTTCTTTGCTTATTGATTGAGTTTGATCGTGTGTCTTTGCCAACAGGATATTAGACTTGAAAAGGTGCTTACTATGTTTCCACTTTCTCCTTTGCAAAAGTGGGGTGCTGATTTGCATATTTTTGTTGCCTCCAGTGGGAGCATAAACTCACCTCCCCAGTGGGACCTAATGACACCAGGGGAGGAGACAGGGAAGTGGGGAGCTGATTGGGCCTGTGTCCCACCACTTTGTTCCACCTTGTTGATTCCTAGGTGGGAATGGAGGCTCAGATCCCCGCTGAACCTTGCTAACACCAGAAAAGCTGGATTAGTTTCTTATGAGTACTGTAACAAATTACCACAAATTTGGTGGCCTAAAAAAACCAAAAATTTATTCCTTCACACTTCTGGAGGCCAGAAGTCTGAAATCAAGGTGTCAGAAGAGCCATGTTGTCTCTCAAGACTCTAGGAAAGAATACTTCCTCACCTCTTTTAGCTCCTGGTGGCTCCAGGTGTTCCTTGGCTTGTGGCTGCAAAACTCCAATCTCTGCCATCCTTTACATGGCCTTCTCTTCTCCATGTGTCTCTCTTCTATGCATCTCTTATAAGGACACTTGTTATTGGATTTAGTACTCACTGAGATGATACAGGATGATCTCATCTTGAGGTCCTTAATTATTTCTGCAAAAACTCTTTTTCCAAATAAGGTCACATTCATAAATTCCAGGGATTTGACATAGACATTTTTTTTGTCAGATATCATTCCCACTCAGAAGGGAAACCACTGATGCTGAGTGGGGATGAAGATTCAGAATCCTGCTGGGCCTTGGTGACACCAGGGGTGGGATAGGGGTGGGAGACAGCAGTGACACTCCATAGTCACTAGCCTTTCTATGCACTGCCTAACTGCTATGGTGTGAATGTCCCTTTGCTCTCATAAATGGATTAATGTTGCTATCACAGGAGGGGCTTTGTTATAAAAGTGAACTTTCTTTTGCTCTTGCTCTCTTGACATGTGATGCCTTCTGTCATGTTATGATACATTAAGAAGGCTTTAACCAGATGTTGGTGCTATGCTCTTGGGCTTCTCAGCCTCCAGAATTGTGAGCTAAATAAACTTCTTTATAAATTACCCAGTATGTAGTATTCTATTATAGCATCAGGAAGTGGACCAAGCTGGCTGGTTAAGTTTTGTTGCTTCCAGTTAGGAGTAGGAGCTCTCTGTCACTGGGCTCCACTGACACTACCTGCACTACCAGCTGTTTCTGCTGGGTAGAAAATAGAAAATCAGCTTCCTGCTTGGTCAGCCTATACCACCTGGAAGGGTAATAAGAGTGCCGTCTGCTTCTACCAGATATAATATGGGAGATTAGCTCCCTCTGCTACTTTGCAGACACCACTAGGTGGGGGGATGAGAGCAGCAGCATCTGTGGGATGGGGGTGGGGTAGGATGGAAGAGCATCTTTCTGCTCCACTGAAACCACAGGGGATGGGGGGTGGTTTTTAGGTTGATGTTTGGCTGGTGAAGGGTGGGTATTGCTAAAAATTTTTTTTTGTTCTATTAGGCCACCCTTTTCCTTCCTGGTCCTATGGCTAGGAGCAGTCTTTTTCATGCCGTTGGGGTTTTTTGTTTTGTTTTGTTTGTATGCCTTTTGATGGTTACTATATGGAGTCTTCTGCAGTGCCCTGTCTGGGATATACAGGCAGTAATAAGGAAACCCAGAGAACCTACTGAATGTCATTCCTCAAGTTTCAAGGTCCCTAGACAATTTGCTGCATTCTTTCCACCTATGCTAGAGTTTTCCTATACTTGTTTGCTGTGTTATGTGCAGGGTTTTTAAGTTGTAAGAGGAAATACTTGGGAGAAATGGGCTACTACCTCTCGGCCACAACCAGAAATTGATTCATGACTCATTCAATTTTAAATTCTTAAGGTCACTGGTCATACATTCTAGTGGAATTCTTTTCAATTTTTATGTTCATATTCCCTGTAATTCTCAATTGAAACAGTATGTGAAAGAAAAACAATTAAAAATGTATCTTAATCTTTAAAGCTGATCTCTGACTGCATCTGCTTTCTTATTGATTCTCGTACAGAATATTTTCCAGGGGAAAAAGCAAAAGATAAAAATGTATTAATAACATTTGTTATTTAACATCATTCTTATGTGAGATTAAAAACTATTTAATGCTGTTTTCTTGTACAACTATGAGTTCTTATTTTCACAAAGTATCTTCAGTAATTTGTACAAGAGTACTGTCTAGAATAGTTTAACTGTATTTATGCATGTTGACTCACAAGTAAACTGCAATAACTGCTGCACATGATTTCATAGCAGCAAAATCTCATTTCTTCTTTTGGAATGATGACAGAGTATTAGGATGAAATCCACGTCTTGAAGTTTTCTGTGCCTTTATTCCATCTTTTGCATTGAGGATGAAACTTACTAAGTTGGAAGGCATGGTTTTTTCAATTATTGTTTGGGACAATTTTCCTCTCATTTCTGTCTGGACAAACGTCACTAGTTTAGAATATTCTGGGTTTCTGTAAGCAAAGGAAAAGTTTTAAAAAGATAAAGAACTTTTAGATTTACCTATTAACTTTACAAGTTTGTAGAGAACAGGATTCTTGTCTTATACACCACTGATTCCCTCCATAGTGCTTATGATAAGATACCAATGGAAGGAAAAAAAAATAGAGTAACTTGCAAACACATCCCTATAAATAAAATTTTATTTATTTATTTATTTTTGAGACAGAGTCTCGCTTTGTTGCCCAGGCTAGAGTGAGTGCCATGGTATCAGCCTAGCTCACAGCAACCTCAAACTCCTCTGCCTCAGCCTCCCGAGTAGCTGGGACTACAGGCATGCGCCACCATGCACAGCTAATTTTTTCTATATATTAGTTGGCCAATTAATTTCTTTCTATTTCTAGTAGAGACAGGGTCTCACTCTTGCTCAGGCTGGTTTCGAACTCCTGACCTTGAGCAATCCGCCTGCCTCAGCCTCCCAGAGTGCTAGGATTACAGGCGTGAGCCACCACGCCCGGCCCCTATAAATAAAATTTTAAATAGAAATATTAAGTAGTTGGAATACATCTTAAAATCTTTAGTCTTAGTCACCTTTTTTTGTCATTTTATTGACTTCTAAAAATTATAAAAGTAATATATATTTATTATGAAAATTTAAGCAATACAGATTTTTCATAATTAAAGAGGATTACCCCTTTCTTATGCCTCTTATTCTGTTCTCCAGAGATAATCCCCATTTATAATTTTAACTATCTTTTCAGATGGTTGTCTATATATATGCAAAGATAGCATACATAAGTATATAATATGTCATACATGTCTAGGTCAAATGTTTGTGCATTTAACATTTTGACATGTTATTACCAAATTGCCCCTTAAGAACACTGGTATTTTATATTCTAACCCAGTGATCTTCAAACTGGGGTATGAGAGGATGAATACTTTTAAGGGAATACATTTTCAAATTTTATTTCCATATGCATTTTTTCCCTTAATCTGTTCTGAGACTATATCTCTGATGGAGATGTGGGCTTTTACTTCCCCATCAACCTGTTCACAATTAGCCTACTTTTGCTTTACAGAACAAAAGCATACCTATCATCCATACTTTTAAATAGTACTGAATAGTGCTTTACCCAGGGAATTAAAAAATCTTTGAGATGCTAAAGGGAAAATCTCATCTATTAGAAGTGAGTTGAGAAAGAGAATGATTAATGACTAGATAATAAATCCTTTCCCAAGTCATGTCAATTCTTTTCTTTCAATAAAACTTAAGGATCTAATTGAATTGTCAGCTGGTCATGTAAAATATTTTTTGATGATAGGTCAGTTACTATGTAATTTATGGTATATAATTCAGAAAGATTTTAAGGCATTGAATGACAGTGCTGGAATTATACTCTTTCCATTTAGCCCATTTATGTGAATAAATTTTCTCAGTTCTTATATTTATAAACTTATAATTTTATATTTATAAACTGAAAAGTAGGAATAGACTTGATATTGAATGCTGTCTGATTTTATTATGTACCCATCCACACTTAAATGAAATGAGTATAATGGTTAGAAGCATGGACTCAGGAACCAGTCTGCCTTGGTTTGAAACTGAGCTTTACTATTACCTATATTTAACCCCAAGAAAGTTCCTTTTTCCCTCTGGGGTTCCGTTTTCTTTTCTGCCCATTGGGCATACTAATATTACTACTTCATGGGGTTACTTTGAGGATCAAATGAGTTAATATATGCAAAACTGTTTACAACAATGCCTGGCACATAGTAAGTGATATTTTACTTTTACTACTAATAATAGATGTGTTTCCAATAACAGTATGCATTATGTTTAAGAATTAGGTAACAAAATTTGTATTTTAAAATTTTGATCAATGTGTAATAACTAGTCCAGAAGGAATATATTTTTTAATTCTTAGGTACTATGGTCACAGGAAATAAATTTAAAAACTTAAATACATATTATTTCTGCAGAGAATTATGATATGGTGATTAAAAAAGAATTCAAAGCATAAAACATACTCTATTAGAATAAAATTATGTGAGGGGAAAAATAAAAATGTGAGTTTAAGGAGAAAAGAAATGACGTAACATTTCTAACTTTTAAAAGGAAAGGTTGTATGTATTTTGAAATGGATAATGTCATGGTGGGTTTCAAGTTGTTACGGCATTCAGAATCTATTGGGTGATATAACTATTTTTCAATGTCAATTTTTACCATATGCTGAACACTGTTTCCTTTTCATCCATTTAATCCTATAAATTTTTTTATGTCAATTAAAAAATGTGCAAGGGGGAATGCAGTTTTATAAAATTCTTTTAAGTGATATGAAGACACCAGTGATCCCACCAATAGTGTATGTCCATTTTCTTATACTCCTCTGTGCAGAGTTTAGACTATTTTTACAGCGCCTCTAATGGCTAGATTGAGAATATAATAGTCCTTCCTTATCTCTGTTCCACTTTCTACTGTTTCATTTACTCACAGTCAACCCACAATATGAAATATTAAATGGAAAATTCCAAAAATAAAACATTCTTGCATTTAAAATTGTCATCATTCTAAGTAGCATGATCAAATCTTGTGCCATCCTGTTCAGTACCACTTAGGACATGAATACCTTTTTCCAGCGTATTCACACTCTATATGCTACCCACCTGTTAGTCACTTAGTTATTTAGTAGCCCTTTCAGTTATCAGATTGAAAAAGCATAGTATATATATGGTTTGATACTATCTGCAGTTTTAAGCATCCACTGGAGGTCTTGGGACATATCCTCTGCTGATAAGAGGGGACTACTATCTGTAATAGCAGTTTGTATGTTCTTAAATCTCTATTTGAGTTTACTATGGCTTTACACACACATAAGAAAGCCTTTCCAATGTTTACTGGAGAGTATCTCTACAGTTGACAAGGTACAAGAAAGGGCCTGGCATATGAAGCACACTTCAAGTGTGTAATTTCCCAACTAGAGTCTCTGCCAGTAGCTGATTTACCTTGCTGATATGGAGCAATAATCCTTTGTGTAACTAGTTCTAGGAACAAATTTCAATGACCCTTATAAGTTTTTTTTATAATTCTCTCCCTAACTAACCACTAGACCTTTTTGAGGTGTTTCCCAGAAATGGCATAATTTCTGCAAGACAAAGGAGTTGAGATTCCAAAGGCTCCTGGGCAGACTTCCTGAACCAAGACTCACCATCCCTCAATAACCTGCTCCAAAGCACATAGACTCTGGTTCATTTCCCCTTCTTAATTTCCTGACAACCTGTCTCTTTTTAATTTCCACTCTTTAAAAAGCCCATACTCTCCCTTAGATGTGAAGAGGGGTTTGAGGCTGCTTCTCCTTATAGCATGTCTTTCATATCAAAATATCCTTTCTTCCTCAGCAATCCATTGTCTCAGTCATTGATTATTCTGTGCCACAAGCAACTGGACCTAGGCCAAATCCCCCTAATGGTTTTGAGAACATTTGTTCTGTTCTGTCCTGCTATAGAAAATAAAGTCTTGGCCATAGATTTAAAACTGACAGATGGGTAGAAAGACCACACATTGTTATCATTATTATTATCCACACCAATGATCCTGTCCATTAATGTGAATAATTGTGAGGTTTTTCAGTTCTCTAATTCAGTACAGAAAGCATTAAGAAATACTCATATAAAATTTAAATTTATTTTGGCTTTCTTCACATAAATATTTTTTTCTTGTATTAAGACGTTTATATCTGACCAATATGAAGTTTTATTTACATGTTTTTATATGCTAATCTTTTACTTAATAAAAATCATTTAGCAAAAATTAAAACTTAAAGATTTTGTGAAATGATAAATAATGAATTAGAGTACATGCTTTTACACAATATGTATATTTTATGTTGCCATTTTATCCCTAGGCTGGCCACCTTTAGGCAGTGACTCATTTCTGATTTCTCCAGCTTTCCTCTTACCTGAATGTATCTACTGGATGTCTCATTCTGTAGGTATCTGCTCCTAGCAGGTAAGCCATGGGCAAGAATTCATTCAAGGTAAAGCATTCATTGCTAATAAATATGTTATACTTCTAGGGAAATTTATTTTTAATTCACAAAAATTCCTTAATAATTTATGGAAGTGACTCTAATGGAGAAATATAAAACATTAGGGAAGTTTAACTGTAGGGAAATGTTTGTACGTTTGACTAGTCTCAGAAACCTCAAATCATACTGTATAGGGAAGTATCCATTCTGATTATACTTAAGATGAAAACAATTATAAAAAGTCATTTTAAAAATCACTTTAGAGGAAGTTTTTTTCCCCCCAGCTGAATATGCTGGTACATATTTCTACTATAAGCCAGAAATCCTGGACTAAATCACAATGTAAACTAAAAACATTGCTAAAATAAATAAAAGCAAATAGCACTTACTCACTCAGAGGTGAACATACAAAGCCACAAGGATGGTTATAACCACGGATATAATTTGAAGACGGAGGATATCCTGGAAAATCCACACTTTGAGCTAAGTAATTAAAAAAACTTAAAATGAAACCTCCATAAAGATGAAAAACTCTATTTTCAGTAGCATATTTAAAAAAAAATGTATGATACGGCATTTAAGTTAATTATCAGCATTAACATTAACTTTATACATGTGAATATGTTTGCATATATGAATATATACACAATCCAAAACTGAAAAAATACCACTATGAACACTATAGTTCTTTCAAAGTTTTGCCTGGTAGTATTTCTAAAGATGCTGTTACATTGCATATACAAGAAAAACTGTTAAAAGTATCATTTAATTACTTTCTGAGATTAAAAAAATTTTTTTTTGATAGTGGGTCTTACTCTGTTGCTCAGCCTAGAGTGTGGTGGCATCATCATAGCTCACTGCAACCTCCACCTCCTGGGCTCAAGCAGCCTCCTGCCTCAGCCTCCTGAGTAGCTGGGATTTCAGGCGTGCGACACCACACAGGGCTAATTTAAAAAAAAACCTTTTTGTAGAAACAAGGTCTCACTATTGCCCTGGCTGGTCTCAAACTCCTGGCCTCAAGTGATTATCCTGCCTCAGTATCACAAAGAGGTAGGATTACAGGCATGAGCCACCACACCTGGCCTGCTTTTTGAGATTTGAAGCAAAAGACATGATTGAATAGAAAAAGACTTCTATTGTTGTGAGCTCATAGATTTTCTTGTTAATCATTTTTTAAAATAAAGTATTTAAAGTAGTTAAATGGGCTATCAATAAAGAGTTTAAAATGCCCTCTTTTGCCAATTCCCTGTAGCTAACTTCAGACTATAATTAAAAATCAGTAGGAGTTTGTTTTAGGAATTACACAGCCTAATATCTGTATTATATGTGAATGTAGAGGGAGGTGGTTTGATTATGATTTAATTTATGGTTATCATGTGTATTCTTTATAAAAATATTTTAAGAAATATTTTGTTAAAACTATTATTTGTTTATTCTGTGTAACTGAATCCTGCTTTTGTCAGAGAAAATGGATTTTTCTTTTTCTTTTTTTTTGAAAAAAAAGCCTCACTTTCTTCCCTGGGCTAGAGTGCTGTGGCGTCAGCTTAGCTCACAGCAACGTCAAACTTCTGGGCTAAAGCGATCCTACTGCCTAAAGCTCCCAGGTAGCTGGTACTACAGGCACACGCCAATGTGCCCTGTTAATTTTTTCTATTTTTAGTTGTTTGGCTAATTTCTTTCTATTTATAGTAGAGATGGGGTCACTCTTGCTCAGGCTGGTCTTGAACTTCTGAGCTCAAGCAATCATCCCACCTCTGCGGATTTTTCTATATGATTTTAACATAGGCAGTCAATTCTGTGGGAAATACAATGTGAAAACGCTAGCTTAGGAGACTAATGTGGTTCAATGAATTTCCCATTTTTATGACTTGTATGATTACCTTAACAGAGCCTGTTGTGTTGGCATAATGGTATTTCCAGGGTGATATTAAATATTTTCTTCTCTGTTTGAAATATGGAGATTATGCTTGTCTTTCTTTAAGACATTGATTGCCACACTAGGAAAAAAAACAATGTTTTTTCCCTGGGTCCATAGTGTTTTATTATGAAAACAGAATAGAAACTTTGAAAATAAAATATCTTTTCTAATTTAATGAAAAATTTGTCATTTTTTGTTTTCTGTACAGGAGTTATATGCAACTCACGTGGCTCTAGAATTAATTTTTTTTTTTGAGACAGAGTCTCGCTTTGTTGCCCAGGCTAGAATGAGTGCCATGGCGTCAGCCTAGCTCACAGCAACCTCAAACTCCTGGGCTCAAGCAATCCTGCTGCCTCAGTCTCCCGAGTAGCTGGGACTACAGGCATGCGCCACCATGCCTGGTTAATTTTTTTTCTATATATACATTAGTTGGCTAATCAATTTCTTTCTATTTTATAGTAGAGACGGGGTCTCGCTCTTGCTCAGGCTGGTTTCGAACTCCTGACCTTGAGCAATCCACCCGCCTTGGCCTCCCAGAGTGCTAGAATTACAGGCGTGAGCCACCGCACCCAGCCTAGAATTAATTTTTATACTGCATGCCAATTGAGTTGTATGTGACTCATGACATACTTACTGAATTTTTTGCAGAGAATTGAGCCTTCATATGCTTCATAAGGCCCTGGGCTCAAAACTAGCATGATTTAACTACAACTCACATGGCAGTTAATGTATTAACAAGAAATTGGTATAGTCTACAAACAGGTATGGGTCTTTTGTGAGGCATGTGGTATGGTAGTTAGCATTTATTTTGGAAAATCAGAGAGACCTGAGTTTTAATTTTGATCCAGCTGCTTCTTAGCTATGTAGCTTAATTTCTTAACTGTTTAATTTCTGTCAACTTCAGTTTCCTCATTAGTGAGAGAATGCATGTAAAATATTTAAACTCAAAGCAAGGTACAGTGCAGGCTAAAAAAAAAAAAAGAAACATTAAGAAGAAAATTACAAGTATTCATCAAAAATCCATTCCATGGAAATTTCTTAAAGCACATTCAGTAGTGATTTGTGTACCAAATGACTGATTACCTCTACTTGTTGATTTTAACCTCAGTACTTAAGCTTCCCTCTGATTGGAAATAATGAGAAATGGTCTGCTTTAAAAATATGAAAAATACCAGATCTAATTCAGACCGACACTATTTTGTGTTGTAGGCAGTGACTACATTTTATGTGGCCTCATTTCAAAAATGAGACAACAAAACATATATGAACATTATGAACATCAGCCCTTACTATGCTGCAAGACAGAGCTAACTGGGTTTGAGCGAGTGCTATGACTCAGTTTGGACTCTGAAACTTAGAGTGCTATAGACATCTCAGAGTAACTGAAAGCTTGTTGGGAAATAATAGTTAACAAAACTTAATTGTCCCTATCCCCAAATAATTTACGGTAGGGGAACCTGTTTAGATAGATGTGAGATTAAATTAAAGTAAGAGGAATAATAGGGCTCTATGCCATTGTTCTACTAAAGTCCCTTCACAATGAGTTATCTTAAATTGCCTTGAATCCAAAGATCCTTATGGTATGAAATGGTAAAATATCAGGCATGTTTTACATGGTATGTGTACTTGTTGGTCCCACTGAGTAAATTAAAAAAAAGGGGAAATAATTGAAAATATAATTTCTTCCAAACTGAATTAAAGGGAAAAAATTTATTAATAACTCATAATAATTCCAAAATGTGAGCAAAATGTTTCAACTTACCACTGATAATGCATATATTCCCTTCATAATGCTTGATATTTACTAAGTCAACAAAGTCTCGGGGGGAAATTGAGCCCATGGCAAAACTTTGTGTAATGGTATGACATAAAAATGTGTCCTGCAACAAATCAAACCATAAAGATTGTAACAACTATTTATTTACTTATTTTTAAAATTTTATTTTTTAATTGACAAATAATAATCATACATCTTCATGGAGTATATAGTGATGTTTTGATACATATAGAAACAATTACTTACTATCTTTTTTTTGTATTGTTCCCCAAAGAATTTCATTGCACCAGATTGGCCTCTATTTGGAAAAAGCAGGGCTTTGAATTTTTAAGACATTATCACCAAATCAGCTTACATTTTGAGTATTAAAGGAGCATTTAGGTCTATAATTATGAGTATATAAAATTCTGGAAATAATCTTGAGATAATCTACTCTTTCAGTTTTTAGATGGAGAAATTGAAGCCTAATAGATTAAATAACATGCACAACTAGAGATTAAGTACAGAACTAGAACCCAGGTTTCCTGAATACCTGTACAGTACTATTGCAACTACTCCTCCTTGACTAGGTAATATATTCTGAAAAATGCATTGATTTAGCACCCTGGGGTGTAAGGCCTAAAATTAAAGACCATATTATGTGGTGCCTTGACATTTGATGAGACAGGAGAGTCTTTAATGGCTTAACTGCAAGTTCCTCTCCCCACACTGCTGCTGCAGATAAGATCCTCTAGCCAAACAACTCTCCTTGTCAACAGGACCAGCAGTTACTACTTAACCCTGTTTTGTGGATTTCAGTTCCCTGCTGGCCCTTAGAATTATCCAGACAAATCAACCACATCCTCCTTCAGGAACTGGGGCTTACCTTCACCCTGTTGATACCACAAAGTCTGCCTCCTACAGCCCCTGGTTATTCACTCTGTTACCATGTCACCCTTGTGTGTCATTGTGTGTCCTCCCCCCTGGTCTGTGATTAATTGTTACTAAGCTTCTGTCAATTTCATTTGTCCAGTGATAGATATCGTGCATTTGGCCATACCCATAATCCTAGAGTGGGAATCCTTCCCTCACCGATAGGGTGAAGAGGATGCAATAAAAACACACCCCTGGAAATGAAATACTATAAGTATAATAGGAAGGTAAAATCATAATTCCTATGCTCATGCTATTCAGAAACACTGTGGTATACTGGAAAGGGCTTGGAATTAGGAATTATGAGATCAGATGCAAATCTTGGATTTATCATATATTGGCTGTGGTAACCTTGGGCAGTCACCTAATCTCTCTGAATTTGTTTTCAAGTTTTTTAATGCCACATCTAGTATTCTTTCCATTATTACAGGTGATTTGCAACAACAACAGAAATATCTGAAGTGCTAATGGAACTGTATGATTAGTATCATACAACAATGAATGAAATAGTCCAAACTTTGGATTTTCATTTGTGATGGCCAACATTTCTCAAACTGAATGTTCAAATCCCAAGGTCATACACATGTGTTTTTGTGAATGGGAACTTCTCTCTACAAGATGAAACTGATGAAGATCAAGGTCTTTCTACAAGATGAAACTGATTTACCTTCCTGAGCTTTCCTACAACCTCTCTTCTCCAGACTTTAAGATCAGTTTACTCAAAGTAGGTACAATTATAACATTCTAAATAAATGATGAGGTGATGGCAAATATGTTGGGCATTTATTTATTTATTTCTGTTTGTTTTGATGAGTGAAATATGGGCTGGAGACTCAAAAAACCAAAGACCCACTGATCTGCAATTTAACAAATTCAGTCATTTATGAAAATCATAAAATTTAGTTTTACTCCATAGTTCACATTTCCACCACTTTCTAATGAGGTTATTATTGGCCAAAAACCTAGCATTCATTTTTTTAAAAAGTATATTGATGTATAATTTACATACCATATATTCAGCTACAGTTCAATGAGTTTTCTAAAGTAAATTTATTTAGTTGTGCAACCTTTATCACAATCCAGTTTTAGAAGACTCATCTTTGGTTCCTCTCTCCCTGCATCAGTAAGTCCTATTGACTCTATCTCTAGTATCTTTGGATCTTCTGATCTATCTCCCTCTCCACCTCTACCACCTGAGCACAAGCCACCATGATGTCTCATTTGGATTGCTATGATAGCCTCCTAACTGTTCTCACTGATTACAGTCTTGCCTCCTTACAATATATATTCCTTTTAGCAGTTGTCTCTTGAAAATGTAAATTAAGCCAGTCACTTCTCTGCTTAAAAAAGTCCTACGGCTTTCCACTGAACTTAGAATAAAATTTCTCCCCCTGACCTATGTGACTCTTACAGTATCTGATCCCAGCCTAACCTCTTCAACTTCACCTCCTACCACTCTTCTTGCTTTTTCTGTTCATGCCCCACAGACCTTGTTTTTCTCTTCACCAAACATTGCCAAACTCTCTCCAGCCTTAAGACCTTGCATTTGCTTTCCCTTCTGTCTGCGTCTGTCTCCCAGATCTTTGCACATCTATCTCCCTCACCTCCATTTTGTTACTTAGGTTTCTAATCAAATGTCTCTCACTCAGACCCTTTCTGATTAACTAGCTATAAATTAGCTTCTCCTGGTTATTGCCCTATATCATTATCTTTCATAATACTTATTTTCATCAATCCTAGCCTTCATAATACTAAGCATTATCTGATAAGTTTTTCCTATTGTTTACTTGTTTATTATGTCTTTTCTGACCACAATAAGTATAAGCTCTGTGAAAGCAGGGACATTTTCTGTCTTGTTCCCTTATGTATCCCCAATGCCTGAAACAGTATGTTCACAACAGGCACTCAAAAAGTACTTATGAAATGAATTAATTAGTCAAAAGAATATAAACATCTGTCTGGGGAGAGGCTGGAGCAAAGTCAGGATTTCCCCACAAACAGATTCATAAGGAAAAACACAAACAATGGAGAACAAAGAGAACAAATGTGAACACATGACCTTAAGACAGGAGAATTATCACCCCTCCCTTCCAGGTGGTTATTTATTAGTGGTCTTAATGAATCACAGATCTATAGGGTGCTGTACCAAAGTTCAGAATCTCTCACCTTACCTCTTTTTCCTTGTTTCTACCTCGTTTCATTCTTCTACTCATATTTCATTCATTTCTCCTCCTGAGCTTTCACTCTGACCTCACCTTGTACTGACTTTTTCTTCTATCCCTTTCTAAACCCTACTTGCCTCTCATATTCCCACTTCCCTTCTCTCACCTGTCTTCAAGTTTCTATTCTGATTACCTATATTTTTCCTTTCTCTTTGATTTTATTCTCCCTCTTCATATCTGTTTAACTGAGATAATGTATTTGAAAGTGTTCCTAAACTGCATCCTTCTGTATAATGTTCTTTCCTTACTTCATACTTTAATCCTTACTGTTAAACATTACATGCTATTTGTTCTTTAATCCCTATAGTGTGTGTCTGCATTGTGCCTGTTATCTAATGTAATATGACTAAGATAAGTCTGCAGACTTCCCATCAGCGAGGCATGCTTAATCTTTGTTTTTCATATAATGTAGGTGAATCTCTGATTTCAGTTCCCTCATAACAAATGGCACACATCTGCAAGCGTTGACCAGATTCAGAATGTAATATGGATTTACAAAAAGAATAAAGCTAATTAGAATTAAACTCTTGACAGATAAGAGGGAAATTTTAAGGCTTTTATAAAGATTTCAACTCACTTTGAATCTATAAAATATTGTGTCTACATAACATAGTTTTAATAAACTCAATTCACTAACATATAAAACTAAAAACATATTAATGTAGTAAAAGTTCAGTAATAAACAACAAATTACCGAATCGATCCTGTGTATCATATTGTGCACCTTCAATGATTTATCCCAAGAAATTCTGTTTCCAGGATGGTGGAGGAAATCAGATAGTTTAGCTGTTGGTTCTGGAATTATCCCTTCAACACGATATCTGTAGTTAACAAGGAGAACTCAAACTTTAGTGTAAACTGAAAATATAATGCTATCAAAGTGTAAAGGTAAGCTAATTTAGAAAATAACTGAAGAAAGTCAGCAATTTAATACGCTAACATTCAATGGAAAATAGCAGAGTTTATTTAACTATACAATAATTAATATACATTATTTTAAAATTCATTTTTATACAAGTAGGGTATTAGTAGTTAAGTTTTTGGGCTGTTAAAAGTTATGAGCAAATTTTTGACTGCATAGGAATTGGCACCCCTAACTCTCACATTCAAAGGTCAATTGTAATATTTTATTGAAACACAGCCACACTCATTCATTTATATGTTGTCATTGTGTGCTTTTGTACTATAATGCCAGAGTTGAGTAATTGCAACAGAGACTATATGGACTGTAAGGCCTAAAGTATTTTTACTCTCTGTCTGAAAAAGTTTTCTAGTGCCTGGCTTAGGCTGTCTACTCAATGGTTGATCTTTCATTTCCAGTCACTTTGCAAAAGGAAGTATCAGTAACAGTTATCATATGCAAGACAGAAACTATTTGTTTTGCTTCCTGGAAGATTATAAAATATAATTAAAGTTGTGTCTTAGGAAAAAGGTAGGCTCCTACTTAAAAAGTACCTTATTTTTTTCATGGGTTTTTTTTGTTGTTGTTGTTGTTTGTTTTTCTTTTGAGACAGGGTCTCACTATGTTGCCCAGGTTGGTTTTGAACTTCTGGGCTCAACAGATCCTCCTACCTCAGCCTTGCAGGTAGCTGGGATTACAGGCATGTACCACCATGCCCGGCTTACGTGCCTTGTCATACATAATTCACTAATTAGAGATGTATTGGAGTTATTGGACTTTTAAAATTATGTAAATATCATGTGTCTTTGGAAATGGAAAACATCTATGTCTTGAGTATTTAGTCCATCACCCACAGAGCAATTCAGTATTTGTGTTTAAGTCTCCTTCATATATATCAATTTTGTCAAAAATATTTTTTATCTATTAATCATTAAGATGAAACAGTTCTTCAGATATTTTATCAATATCTCTAATAAAATTTGTGCTCATTATAAGTAAAGGTCAAATTAAAAATATTTTAACTATTCTTTCTTATCCTTTATAGTTTCTGACAAGCTTCAGCTGATATCTGGAACTGATATGATAGATCAGTATACTTGAAGCTACACTTTTTACAAATTATACACTTAATTGTAGGATGTAATGAAAACCTTTTAGTAAATGTGGATTTGTATCAACACACCAATTTTAATATGTCTCTAAATCATTTTATAGCCTTTTATGGTTTTTGTGAATGGCAGAATAGTAACTAAAAGAGTGAGCAAGGAGAAAAATAGTATAAAATGTCTATTTTTGCATACTAAAAACTATACACTTGGGGAATCACCTGTAAAACCATAAGATCCTCATTGCATTTCAGTGATCTTATTTTTGGCATTTCCTATGTAATATTAATGAGTTGGGGGTAGGACTTCCAGAGTGGCTGTGTGATGAGTTTAGTAAGCCATCTCCAAATTGAAACGACCATTTTATTGGTGAAAATCATATAAAAGGACAAAACAAAAAAACATTTGAGTCTCTGGAAATTGACCTAAGGGTATGCAAGAAATGGAGAAACATTTATTAAAGGAAATCTACTAAGTTTATGCAAAAAAAGTGAGAGTCTGTGGCATTTAAGCCATAACCTGCTTCCAGCCATCTCCTTCACCCTACAGAAGCTCTACTTCTGTACTTTGGTACTCTACAAGTGTGGTCCCCAACCCATGTTGGTCCATGGCCCATTGGAAACTGAGCCAGCTGCACAGCAGGAAGTCAGCAGTGAGGGAGCGAAGCTTCATCTGTATTGACAGCCACTCCCCATCACTCGCATCACCGGATAAGCTCCACCATCTGTTAGATCAGCAGCAGCTGTGTTAGATTCTAACAGGAACATGAACCCTGCTGTAAACTGCACATGTGAGGGATATAGGTTGTGCACTTCTTATGAGAATCTAATGCCTAATGATCTCAGGTGGAGTTGAGGCGGTGATGCTAGTACTGGGGAATGGCTGCAAATACAATTATTAACGAGAGGTTTGACTGTACAATAAACGTAACGTGCTTGAATCATCCTGAAATCATCCTCCACACACACCTCCTCTACCCCCATCTGTGGAAAAATGGTCTTCCATGAAACCAGTCTCTGGTGCCAAAAAGGCTGGGGACCACTGCTTTACAAGGTAGGTGCAGACAGAGACAGGGTTCCCTCTCCCCACCAGCTTCCAGTCCAGGGCTATGGTTTCACACTAGGAGGGGAAGACACTGAGATCTCTCATGCCCACAACTCTCAGCTGATGTTGTGTAAGCTCTATTCTGAAATTTAGAGTGTATAAGTTTCAATAAAGTTGTTAAAAAATGAATTAGTTGTTCCTTAAGTTCTTTTTTTCTGAAATAGAGAATAACATTCAATCAATTACCCATCTCAATCTATTACATAAAAGCAATTACTCCAGAAATTCTTAATGTTTTTACAGTAGGCAGAGAACCTATATTTTATTTAGATAAAATATGAGTTTGTGTTCTATTCTGCAATATAAGATAATTCAATAAAATATTTATGAACTTGGTCTTTATTTTGTTATAGTCATATATTTTTATTTTCAATTTGTACTTTTTCATTATAAATACATTTTCACTAATTTCTTCTTCTAACACCCAGCATTAATTATAAACCAACTATCGATGTTAATGACTGTGTTGTTACTGATTCTTTCACTTGTGAAATACGGAAGTGTGGAAAATGACCTCATATAAACCCCAAATTCTATTTTTATAATAAAACCATGCTATACTTCTCATCACTGAATAACATAAATTTTCATCCTTAAGTTTTTCATGGTGGGAGGGGATAATAACAGTGAAACAACACTTTTTATATTATCTTATTAATAATATCTGAATTATTTTGATAGTCAAGAAGGTTTTTAGGACTCAAGGTTAGGAAGATATTGAACCAGGATGAATATTCAGCTAAGTTAGAACTCTTCATTTTGGTCACTGAAACTTTATTCATTACTTTGTTACTTAAAAAAATTTTTTAACCTATATAAATCTGAGTACTTTAATTTATAAAATTTATAAACTATCTCACTTGTCTGCCTCAGAAAATAGAAGAGGGGATTAAATGTGGTGGTGGTAATAATAGTAATTAATAATACATGGTATGGAAATAACTGGCAGAAAAGGAAGTAGCATGCTGAACAAGCATGAAATGCATATGTTAGAAAAGGTATACTCTGTCAGAATGCTTCTCTGGATAATTTGTCTTGATTATTCCACAGCTAGATCTGATAGTTTTAGGGAGGTCAGAAAAAAATAATGATTGAGAAAGTATAGCCTCTGAAGCAAAGTCCTGGCTTCTAAGTTTCATCTCACAATACTTACTAACTAGATAACTTAGGGATAGTAACTTATGTAGGCCTTTATTCATCTGTAAAATGAAAATAACAACAGTGCTTACACTGTAAGACATATGAGGAGTAAATTAAACAATAAAGGAAAGGTATTTAGCATAATGCCTGACATATAGTAAGACATTAGTGTTAGCTGCTTCTAACATTTAGGGGAATGCATAGGACAAACTGTTGATAAGTCTCTATTTCATCTCTTCAGGGCATAAAGGAAAGAAATTCCAACCAAAGAACTAAAACTCTACTCATGCATGCAGGCAAATGCCCAAAGCTAACCACTAATGGCCCCTTTTGAGTGACAAATTATTGAGAAAAGGCCTATGTTGAGGAAATATCTTGAGAGTTTTTTGTATTATAGTTATAAGATATTTAATTTTCCATTTGGTAACCAATATGAAGTCCACAGATTTATTCAATAAATATTTAATGAGTATCTATGTGAGACACTGTTCTGGTGCTACAGATACTGCAATGAACAAGAGTGATTTATTTCTAGTCTGGTTCCTATTCAAGTTCCTACTCTTGTCGGGTTTATAATCTGACAAAAAAGGTGTATAATAAATAACAAAACAAAGAAGGTAAATTATATATAGTGATAAGTGCCATGAAGAAGATAATGGCAGAATAGTGTGGTAAACAAGTGCCTGACTTTGTGCATCTGGGAACTTTGTTAAGTGGCCAGAAGGGCACTCTAAAGAAGAGATAATGAATCTGAGACCTTGAGGACAAAAATGCCATTAGCCTTGGAAGGATTTGGCGGAACAGCATGCCAGGCAAGAGAAGATCAACTAGGAAGGCTCTGAGTTGGGTTTACGTTCAGTGCATTCAAGCAACAGAAGTTTGTTGTGGCTGTAACAGGGAGACTGAGGATGAAGTGGTAGGCAATGAGGCCAGAGAGGTAGACAGGGGCCAGATAGTGACTTGCAGATCATGATAAAATGTTTGAACTTGCTTTTTTTTTTTTTTGCTGCCTGATTGCTGCCATCATGGGTTATCATATGCATGGTATATAATTGCTCTATTTTATTAATATCATATTTCAGCTTAGTAACAATTTTTATTTACTGATTACTATCAAATAATTTGTATAGTTAATGAAAGAGTGATGAATTCCAGATACATCAATTCCATTGAAATTAAAACAATGATTGTAAATAGGATATTATACTCACAGATTTCCTTGGAATTTTCTAGAAGTCTTGGTGGAAACAGTTACCTTTTTCTCAATGGGGAATAAAAATCCACAAATAAATTATGGTCAGATACAGAAAAAATGAAAATTAAAAAACAAAAGTAAAAATATATATTTGTTTCTGGTTTATAAAAGAAAAAAAATATATGTGTATACATTTTATTTTTCTTAGAGATAGGGTTTCACTATGTTGCCCAGGCTGGAGTGCAGTAGCTAGTAACATGTACGATCATAGCATACTATAGCCCTGAGCTGGGCTCAAAGCATCCTCCTGCCTCAGACTCCCAAACAGATGGGACTACAGGTGTGCACCACTGTGCCCAGAAAATATTTTTTAAAAAATTTTACAATGAATTGTTTCTCATTAATAAAAAAACCCTCTTTAAACATATTTGACTTGTTTTCTTACTGAAATCTTAACCACTTTCCAGCCCGATGTATCTTGACTGTAACCTAAAACTTCTTGGGCAGTTTGTTGGGCAATTGCCTTATAGTCCATCTATCTGCAAAGATTTAAAAACAGATGATTGGTAAGAATGTAATCATATAAAAACTTTTAAAATGCTAGATTACATTTTAATACTTTTTCTACACTGCTCTTCACATAGCAATGAACAATAATTATTTGTTAAATGCATGCATGCATGACCCCTTTCTTCTTATTCAAAGTCTTTCAAATGAGGTAATTAAATATGAAATGCCCGATATTGAATCAAAAGTGTAGTTTGTCATATCTCAAACAAGAAGCAGTACAATTATTCAAAGTATGTGCCTAAACTATCAACACAGTTTTGCCACCTTAATGGTAGCTTGTTTATGCCAGCAGCCAAGAAGCCCAGAGAGTGGTGATGAAATCCTGAAAGGCATTTTCCACAGCTTATTGAGAATTGAATATTTTTCCTTGCAAGAAGTGGTCCAAAGCCTGGAAGAAGTGGTAGTCAGTTGGTGGGAGGTATGATGAATACGGTGGATGATAGGTTTCCAAGTCCAGCTTCTGTAATTTGAGCAGCATTGTTTATGCAACATGTGGTAGAGCATTTGTCTTTAAGAGGATTGGTCTGTTTCTAGTGACCAATCGTGGCTGCTTAATCGCAAGCATCGCCATTATTTCATCCAATTGGTTGCAGAATACATCTGCTGTAATCCATTGACCAGGTCTCATGAAGCTGTAGTGGATATTACCAGCATTGGATCACCACACAGATACCAGTAGCTTTTTTGGATGAAATTCAGTTTTGGACTGTGTTTTGTCACTTCATCTTTATCCAACTATTGTGCTGAAAGCTTGCAATTGTCAAAAAGAATCCATTTTTCATCACATGTAATGATATGGTGTAGAAATAGTTTGTTTTTATGTCATGACAGCAAAGAAAAGCAAGCTTTCAGACAATTTCTCTTCTTATGCTCTTTTAACATTAACTGCCATGAGAGTTGTATTTAATTCACTCTAGTTTTGACCCTGGGGGGCATGTGAAGCATATATAAAATCTTACTTATTGATGTTCTTATTGTTAAAGTTAATATTGACAATTTAATTCTAAAAATGTGGATTAAATGAATAGAAGTCAATAAATTTGTTTTTCTATTTATGTTTACCTTTAAATTACACTTGAAGTTTTTATTCTGTGGCCCCAAGGAAATGTTTCTGATTTTTTTCTGTGGCAGTCAATGTGTTAATTCATATAGAACTCATCCATCCACCTTTACCTTGCCAATTTGTTTCAAATGGCCCAATAATTGTTAGAATAGTAATGTCAAACCTTGCCACTATTATAATTCTTGCATAGGTTGAGACAGATGTGCTTCTACTATAGCATTCAGCTCATCATTATCCACCTTGGTCTCAGGTTGCCCATGGGGCTCATTTTCAAGATTAAAATCACAAGAATAGAACTTCTCAAACCACTGACGTACTGTGCATTCATTAGCCACATCATTTCCAACACTTCATTGATATTTCTAGCTATCTGCACTGTATTGGTTCCACAATGGAAATCACATTAGAAAATAACATGAATTTTTGACTTACCCATGGTTTCACAAAAATTGCTCTAAAAAAAGTTGAAAGATAATCATAAGCCAAAATGTGTGTTTGAAAGACTGAAGATGTACCTTCACAATAAACATAAAACAAGAAGTGTCAAAGTAAAAGGTCAGAGATATCAACTGTCAAACTTAGTATTTAAGGAAATTGGACATTTCATACTTAATAACCTAAATCATATAGTGGAAAAAGGCAGACTTTGGAATCAAAAACCTGGGTCAAATCCTGTCTCTGGCACTTATTGTGTGAAGCATGTTACTTAATATTTGTGCTTTTCCATTTTCCTCAAAGTATAAAATTGGAATGATATCTCCTTTGTAGAATTAGCATGAGGATTACATAAGATAATGTACTTAAATGTCCAGTGCCTGGCACACAATAGTCATTCAAAAAATCATGACTATTTCTAACAGCTTAATCATGCTTCCATTCTCTTATAAAGCATCACAATGTATTGATTATGCATTCTTTTTAAAGTTAGTGGCAGTGGCACTATACAATCTGACCTCTGGCTTCCCTTCCTACACACCTCTTACCAGTCTTCTTTTTGTCCACTTAGCTGCAATAATATTGATATCCTGGAGGTTCCTCAAATACAACCAAGCAACTTCCTACTTCAGGGTCCTTGTACATGCCATTCCCTCTGTTTGGAACATTCTTCCCCAATGGGTTCACATGGCTGACTCTGCCTCATTGGTGTCTTTAAATGTCACCTCCTCAGACAAGATCAAGTTTAAATTAATTCAATTTAAACACATTTACTGAAGCCTTCCAAATCAAAGTTAGGTACTGTAATGGACTGAATGTTTAGGTACCCCCAAAATTCATATGGTGAAACCCTAACTCCCAAGGTGTTAATATTAAGTGGGGCATTTAGAAGGTGATTAGATCATGAGGACTAAGCCTTTTGAATGGTATTAGTGCCCTTATAAAAGAGACCCCAGAAAGCTCATTTGCCCCTTCTGCCATGTGAGGACACTGCCAGAAGTTGACAGTCTGCAACTGGACTAGGGCCCTCACTAGAACCCAACCATGCTGGCAACCTCAGCTCAGACTTCTAGCCTCCAGAACTGTGAAAAATAAATTTCTATTGTTTATAAGCCATCCAGTCAATGGTACTTGTTTATAGCAGCCTGAAAAGACTGAGACAGGTACTGTGGTAGGTGTAGCAAAGACAGTTGAGTAAGATACTCTTTTTGCTGTGCATGAGTTCAGGAAGCTGTGTTTCATTGGTCCTTTGGTCCATCACCCAGTTTTCAGTTAGGGAAAGCTGGCAGGTATGGTGGAAAGAAGGTAAAACATAGAGCTAGATTCAAATCCTGGCCTTGCCACTCATCACTGGCCATATTATTTTGCGTAAATTGCTTAAACTTTGAACTTCAATTACCACATCTATAGAATGGGGATAATAACACCTATCTCATGGAGTTGTTATAAGGATTAATTAAGTTAATATATGTGAAAGTGCTTAAAACAATGTGGGGCCCTATTCTAGGTGATCAAAAGGTCAGCACCTTTTCTTAAAACAGACACATTTAAGTCTATCATTTAAACTCTCCAAAGACCTGCCTCCTTAAGCACTTCAATAAACCTTCTTAAAATTTATCGGAATATTTCTTCCGTAGTTTTCACCTAAAACTCTTTAAGCTGGATCATAAATCTATTTTCTCTTGTTTAGTTTTCCCAGCAAGGTATAAGGTTTCTAGCTTCTGTATTTGAAAAACTTTAGTAAACCATTATAACCTTCTTTTTCCTAGTAGAGTCCTGGTTTCTTTACCTTTCCTAACAGATGTAGTTCGGAATTTTAATAACTATTGGGACTCCTCTCCAAATCCTCATGGAAATCTCCATATCTCTTAACCTGTGAAGAAACAAAGCATAAGTAGAATTATTTTGATACAGGAATTAGGTAATCTGATAATTTGAATGACTGAATTTGATAAATTTCCTTTCTATCTTCTCAGTGTCCTTTATTTATACTTTATGTCTCAATTAGGAAACATTTATTATATATGCCCCAAGATGGAAGAAAAAGGTAGTACTTTAAAGGATACTGTTTATGGAAAGAAGCTTTAAGAAATGCTTTTAGAGAAGGCTAAGTTAAAAAGATATTTTAGGTGGAATGTGGATTAAAAAAATCTAACTCTGAAGCTCATGCCATTAACAATCCTGGGCTGGTTCCTGACCTGGGCTTGCTCTAGTATATGAAACAGTGTTATTGATTTCCTATCAGCAACCTACTCGATATTGATTGATCTAGAAATTTTGCTGATTATTGGAACATACTATTAGTTGTAAACTCATGCAGGGACTGTGTCTTATTTTCAAATCACTGACACTTATACAATCGACATGTGTTTGAACCACTAAATTGAATTTTATAGCTTCTGGACTTTTTCATTTGCAAGAGAAAAGGGAAGGTCAAGTTTAGTAAGCTGGAGAGGGTGAAAAGAAGAAAGAGCAAACAGCAAGACTACAGTACTATTACCTGGTGATGTAACATCAGATGAGCTGGAACATATTCAGATGGAGTAATGGTCAAGAATATCTTCACCCATAAGGTCAGTGGAAAGTAAACATAAACCAATATTGAGATGGCATCTTATTTTAATACACCACTTTGTTGAAACTGAATTCTTCGCACCTCGTATCCTGTCCCAGCCTTGTAGACAGGTTCGCACATGTTGTTAGTGGGTCTTTACATCTGTCTGTAAAATCTCCCTCTTTCTGGGCTGCCTGACTGGGTCCCCAATCCGTGCTGGGTCAGTGCCGTTCTTCCCTGGGAATTAAGGTCCCCAAGGAGTTTATTAAATCCCATCCCTGGCCAAACTCGGTTCTTCAGTCACGCGTCTGCTTTTTGTGTGAGGGGCTAGCTGGAACCCTAGCAGGGCCAGGCTCCGGGCGGGACGGGGAAGGCACTCAGGAGGGAGGGAAGGAAATGGTGGGGGAGGCTGTCCTGTAGCTGAGATGATGTCTTATCTTGGGAGGAGATGCTCTGAAAGCGGGAAGGCCGAGCCCACTTGTAAGGACTGGTGCTGTGGGGCTGGCTCTCAGCGACAGAAGCGACAACGGCCAGAGCCCCCAGGTCTCTTTCCCCACCCGGTGCCGTCCCACAGCCCCGGAGGCCGGCCAAAGGGAGAACAGCCCGTCTGACGAGTAGACTAGCAGAGAATGGCAGTGACGGAGGCGGGGAGGGCGTGGGTGGCATCGACGTAGACGAGGTCCAGAACCACCCGCTCCCAGCCCCAGAAAGAAGAGGAGAAACCACACCTCCCAGCAGGGGTCGCGACCCAACGCCCCGCAGCGCTCTCTTCCCCTCGCTGGCTCCAGGGTCTCCACTCACCCCGCCAACGCCGAGCGTCGCGCATGCGCACGGCCGGCCGGCGCCATGTTGGGTCGGTTTGAAAGCGAGCGCGGGTGTGGTGCTGCGCTGTGACGGCGGAGGCGGCTGCGAGCAAGCGGAGCCTGAGGCGGGGCGGTGTCCGGGTTAGGGATGCTTTGTCGCGTCTCCAGTCCAGTAACAGGCCTTGGCTTTCGGCAGAGAATTGTGGAAGTGTGCGTTTTTAATCTTTTTTGGGGCCTTAGTGGGTGTGTTAGGCCGATAGGAAGGGTGTGTTTTTGAGGGACGTCCCATCCCTTGAGAGCCCGAGGAAAAGGCTGAAGGAAGGGAGGCGACGAGGGAAGAGGAAGACGTCGCCGAAGGGAGGGCGCGCGTGGAGTCTCTGTGGAAAGAACACTTTAGGCGGAGTGCCCCGGGTCGGCGGGACCTGACGTGGGCCTCGGCGGGCGTGAGGCGGCTATGGGAAGGGGGTCGCGCTCCGGGGGCCGACACCTCGGAAAACCGCGTCCGTCCACTGCGGCGCTCACCCCGGCTGCTGAATAAACGGTTTCAGAGTGAGAAGCAACTCACTGAAGACTGTGTCTGTGTCAGTGTCTGTGACGGACGCGGGCAGCGGAACCCCGAAAGAAGGATGTTGCCTAAATAGGGGCGGAAAGGCTTGAACCCAGCGCGCCCGGGGCGGGGAAAGACGGGTGGTTGGCAGGCGCCGGCAGTCTTCGCTTTCCAGGTCCAGGAATTCTCCTTTTTCTGCCGCAGAATAAACAAACGTTCGAATTCATGATTTATTAATAGCGGTCACAGAGCTGTGCCTTCCAAGGGTTGTTCTTAATTTCCTCTGAGATATTTCCACTGGGTATTTAACACTCAACATTCTGTTTTTAAATCAAAGGTAGTTGAAATTTCTTGTCAAGAAGTTTAACATTCTATTCTTTCGCATGATGAATTTTCTTTTGAAGATTGGAACTGAAGAGTTTGTGGAGGAAATGGTGAGATATGTGGGGTTTGCTTAAGATAATGGGATTCAAAATAATCCTATGGCTGAAGTGGGGAGAAGAGGGTGGAGGTATGGTTAAGAAATTGGGGTATGTTGGTAATTGCAGGGAGCAGGATGGTGGGTGCATAGGGGTTTATTAAACTACTTTTGCATACGTTTGGAAACTTTCCATAATAAACATTAAATTGTGGGGATTTTTTTAGTTAGTCTTGTGAATTAAAATAATAAATGTTATCACTCACCAAGAATAATAATCCAACAGCTTTCTCTTTTAAGGTTTTGTAAAATAAGATAGGTAACCTGTGCTGCGTTCAAATAAGGGAGCAAACATTCCGTCAAGTTTATCCAAGCAAATTTACTTGAGTGAATTTAAAATTCTTTAAATAAAAGGGATAAAGAATGGATGAGGCTAACTTAGTTTAGCCATTTTTTAGAGATATGCCAATATCACAGCATTCAGGGAAATCAAAGAGGCTAGTTAATCATTATATTCTGCTGCTGCTTTCAGTACCATTGTCAGATCTGTTGTAAAGGCTATATTGCATCCTCTAAGGCTGTGACAAGATGAAATTTTGCTTTGTCTCTAATTAGAAAACTTTCAATATTGTAAAGTAAAATTTGACAGTTATATTGAAAGTTGTTATAACTAAAAGATTTCTAAAATTATATTAAGAGCCCAAAATTTACAGTATAAAGCTGGGTGCTGTGAAGGCTGAGGTAGGAGGATAGATCCCTTGAGGCTAGTAGTTTGAGACTGTAGTGAGCTATGATCACTCTACTGCACTCCAGCCTGAATGACCCAGTGAGATGCTGTCTTAACACACACAAAAAAAGGAAAAAAATTTTACACCATATCATGTTCGTCCTAGACTTTCGTCTTTTGTTTGTAGTACAGAAAATCCACTGATCTAATTTTTGAAAATGTACTTAGTTCCTGTTTATTGTTATTTTTTAGGTTTTCAAATATAGATACTCTTATTGCTGTGCTAAAGTAGACAAGGATTCTTTCAGTTTTAATAATGGGAAAACAGTAAGATGACTACATTAAGTTGATTTCCAGATTATTTAAGCTTTTAAAAGAGGTGAGCTGAATTTGTTTAACATAAGAATTGAAACTAGTGAGAGTAGTACCAAAAATGAAGGTCAGGAAATGATTAAAATTTTTATTTTAGGAAAAGGTCATATTGTTAGTTCATTCTATCATAAGGTTTGTAGTTTATTTCTTTACAGATACATATTACAAATTATTTTGTTCTCTTGAGTCTTTTTGGGGGGAAAGGTTTGGCTAAAGTTAAACAATGACATTTACAACATTGAAAGTGGATATTCTCCATTGTTCCTTCCTGTTTTGAATACTTCATTTGATGGCTTTAAAGAATTTATTGAGCACCTACTATCTGTAGTACATGTTTGTAGGCTTATGATTTGAAAAATATTATGTATTGGGGAATGTTAGATATTGTGATGTCATAGAATGTGTTACCATAAGAAAAAAGACTATTTACAAGTAGTTTTTAGGACTGAAAAAGTGAGTACTCTTGATATTTTCCATGTATGTTCTCAGATAATTTTTATATACATACTTCCAAGAACATGGTAAGGGCTTAATAAATGTTTTCTAAATCACTGATGAAAGAATTCATAGTAATAAACATAATAGAAAATCTACAATGCCTACAAAAGAGTGTCTATTATAGATAATGGATTTTATTCTTTAAAGAAAATTATTAAAAGTTTACATATGTGGTAATTTTTTATACATATGATCCTTATTGTGTTTAATTGAAACTTTCATCTTTTCTTTTCGTCTTACAGTTGTTTTTAAGGGAAATGAATGGAAATAACACATTTTGAGGAAGCCATGGCAAAATCAAACACAAAACACAGAGTTTGTTCTCGGGAATCTTCCGTATCTTCTCTGCTAGCAAGCTGCAGCCTGAGTGGTAGTAATTCCTCTAACTCTGATGGCTCTTTTCACTTTAAGAATAGACTGTATAGTTCTGCTTCTCAGGCTCTACAGGCCTACATTGATGATTTTGATCTAAGCCAAATATATCCTGGTGCAAGCACGGGAAAAATTAACATTGATGAGGACGCTACTGATATGCCACATTTCTCCAATGATATTCATAGACCAAACAATGGTACGCTTTTATTCTTTATGTTTCCTTTATTTCCTTTATTCCATGCCTTGCAAAGCATGACATTTTTTGTTATTTTGGAGTAAAAGTAACTTTTATAATACTGAGATCTGGATATTTTTGTAAAATGATTGTATAATTCTGTAGTTCTCAGGAATTTTCAGCTAGGATGCTCTTTTACCTTCAGAGGGGAAGCTGATGAATGTAACTAATAATAACAGGTGGCTGATCTTAACCCTTAAGCCATTTTACTGAGGCATAATGGAAAGAACATTGGCGTGGTGGTTCTAGCTTTCATTAACTAGCTTAATGACTTTAAGCAGATCTCAACCTTTTTGAGTTTATACTTGCTCAATTCCAATTGATGGGGTAGGATTATATTGGTCTTTCTGATCTGTATTCTATGGAACAATAATATTCACAAGATGTTAAGAGTTTGTCCCTTAGTAAGACTTCCTTGAAGATAAGTCTGGAAAATGCATTTGTTGATACACCAGTTAGCATTTTACTGAGTGCTTACAGAATGGGTATAGAATAGAAAAAGTTTGTATTCAACTCTTGGAGAGATATGGGCAATATATTCCAGAAGAGGAGAATTAGAATATTTATTCTCTGTATGTAACCATGAGAAAGCAAATTATTTTTCACATAGTTTAATAGCATTTTTTTCTATGCTGCAGCCAGTATTGAGTGACCAATGTTACTGTGATTATATTAGTGTATCAGGTATGTCTAGATGAAAAAAATTGAAGCAACAGTAAACTAGAGGACATGGAAAAATTCAGGAGGTTGGAGAGAAACATGTAGAAATTAAGTAAAATAGATTGAAGAAACGTGAGAAAGCATATCCTATTTTATCAACCTAAACTTTCTATGCTTTTAATCAAAAGCTTTTGTGAGGACAAGGGGAAAGCATTCAAAATGCTTGTTTAATTTGCATTTCCCCTTACTGTTGGATGTTATAAAGTACATGTGATAAGGAAGGTAAACAGACTTATGTTTTGTTTTTCAGCTTTTGAAAATCCTGATCACAAAAAGCACTCAAGCTCCTTATTCTGTAGAAGACAGACTGTTAATGACATAGACTCCATTAGCCTAACAACTGATGATCTATTAAAACTTCCAGCAGATGGATCGTTTTCTTTCACTTACATTGGACCAGATCACCAAATGAGCAAGAAAAAAAAGAAATGCATTGGAAGACTGGGTTCACTGGACATTGGAAAGAATTCAGATTTTCAAGAACTTTCCACTCCCATGGGCAAAGATAACTTAGTTACTCCTGCTGTATGTACAACTATAAATGGAAAGCAATGTGGTAGGCTAAAAACCCCAAAACATATGAATAGGACTAATAAATGTGTTTCTGAGTCATCTTTATATTTTCCCAAGAAGTCATCTTTCAAGGACAGTTCAGAACACAGTCGTGGAAAGAATTATCCAAGATGGCTCACTAGCCAGAAATCTGACCTTAACGTTTCAGGGATAACTAGTATACCTGATTTCAAATACCCAGTCTGGCTTCACAATCAAGACTTGCTACCTGATACAAATAGTCAAAGGGATTATAAAATATTTAAAGAAGATCAGTGTTCCCCTAGACATAGTTATCAGGCACAAAGAACTTCTCGGCACATGAATAAATCAGATTGTTTTGAATATTCTTTTGAACCCTCAAACTTTCTAAATTCCTCGAGTGATGCTAAAGAATTAGTTAATGAATACAAATGTGATTTTGATCGTAGCCAATGTCAATATGAGAATCCACTTCTCCCAGGACAATCCACAAAGCCATTCAGTGGTAATACTTTGTTTTTAGTTTATAGTTTTTTATTTTATTTTTTAACCAAAGGGAGTGCTATAAAGTTGACCTAATATCTAGGAGCTTTTATGTTTTATTTTGATGTATATCTCTTCAGAATGCTTTTGATGCTCATTTATATAGTCTTTTGTAACCATAAAATGTCTTTTCTTGAAATGTCACATTTATACATAATTTGCGGTTAAAGTTGTGTGTATATTCTAAATTATCCAAAATCTTGTTGACTTTGTGAGATTTTGCTGTGCTTTGCATTTGTGTTTTCCCTAAAGAATTAATATAATCTTTTAAAATTAGGTGACAAAATTCAATTGCTTATCCTGAAGGCCAAGAGAAATCTAGAGCAGTGCACTGAAGAAACACCAAAGTCTATGAAAAAGGATGACAGCCCTTGCTCATTAGATAAACTTGAAGCAGAAAGATCATGGGAAAATATCCCTGTAACTTTGTAAGTAAATGACAATGGAAAAACTATTTAGTTTTCCAAATGAAAAATGTCATGTGAACATCTGATTTAAAAAAAATAGGGTAATGAATAATAACATTGTAATTTTGTAGAACAGAGCTTTCAGTATTGCTTGCTTTAAATTGCATTTTTCATTTGTTACCACAAGATGGTGTAATGTTTCATAACCTTAGGTACATTATAGAGCTTATGTCTTTGTTACATGTTCATTTTGTTTCATTACAAAATATTGATGTATATATTAGTATGAAGGATTAGAACCAAAAGCAATTATTTTGCAGGTGGAGGAATGTTAAGATATTCTTGTTATTTTCTTTTTACTTTAAGCTTTTCCCCTCTTCCTTTGTGTTCTCTCCATTTATATAGTAGATCTTTAAGTTTCTTTTCATTTACATTTTACTTTCTCTTTTAGTCATTATTTTACTTGATTGATGGTGCATTTGTGTATGGTTTATTGATTAAAATTTTGTAGTTCCTAAGATTATTTTCATTTGTGTGCTTAACCTTTCTGTGACATAGTTGTTAAGAATAAAAAGTATTTACCTAGACACCTGAGAATGTGAGTGTGGAGTTATAATTCAGAATTTGTGTAGGAAATTTTTTATTCTTAGTGACATTATTACATGTATTCTTGGTAACCCTATATCATATGTTAGGTTCTAGCAATTCATTATCTTTAGTTATTTAAGCTTTCATTCTGTTATAGACAGTATTAATTCCTGGATTCTTTTTGTACTCTCAGTTGAATGTCCTCTTTTTTCAAAGGTAGACACTGACTGTATTCCAATTTAGTATCCCATTTCTGCACTTTTTTGCTGTGTGACTTGCACAAATTACTTCTCCAACTTTAGAGATAGAAAATAATATCTACTTCGGGTTGTTGTGAGGGTTTAATTCACTAGAAATGAAGACTGAATTCATATTGTGAAGTGTGTTTGTAGATAAACCAATGATGGATTCCTGAGAGGAATAGATCTCAGTTTGAGATTAATAAATTATTATTATTTTTTGAGACAGAGTCTCGCTTTGTTGCCGAGGCTAGAGTAAGTGCTGTGGCGTCAGCCTAGCTCACAGCAACCTCGGTCTCCTGGGCTCAAGCAATCCTTCTGCCTCAGTCTCCCGAGTAGCTGGGACTACAAGCATGCACCACCGTGCCTGGCTAATTATATATATATATTAGTTGGCCAATTAATTGTTTTATCATTTGTAGTAGAGATGGGTCTCACTCTTGCTCCAAGTTGGTTTTGAACTCCTGACCTCGAGCATCCACCCGCCTCAGCCTCCCAGAGTGCTAGGATTACAGGCATGAGCCACGCGACGGCCTGAGATTGATAAATTATTATCAACCTTTCATCAAAGCCAAATTGAATGGAAATACTTGAGATAGTATCTACATGGTAGAATAGGCCACAACCACTAATGTATTTTTTTAAAACTTTTATTATGAAAAATTTCAAACAAATGACAAAGTAGATATTATATGAACCCTATGTATCCAGCACCCATCTTTCAGTAATCTGGTAAATGCTTTTTGATAACAACTGAGTGATGTATGAATTATGTTGGTAAGAATGGGGAAAAGACTACCTAGGAGTTAGAAAAGCTTGCAGTAAATTAGAAATCAATATGTCAATAAGAAGTGCTGCTTACTAAGAAAAATAATAACATTGTGACATTTAAATTTTATAAATTCTTAGATATTTGAGTTTTTTAGTTATAAATATACCTTATAAGTAAATAGAATGAATTCTTTTGTGACTAATAGAATTTGATTTGGGATATTCTTTATTTTGCTGGGGATACCTTTCCTCTACTACTCCTTGAACATCAGAAAGAAGTTATTCTTTATTGAGCTCTATAATGTACTAGGTACATAGAGAATTGGTTATTTATGCAATATACTGTGAGACCAGTGGGCTACAATTGTAGAACTGAATTCAGATATAAATACCTAAGGTCATATATTGAATGGGACTAGGATTGTACTCAGGAATGTTGATTTCAAAATTAATCCTTTTCCCAATATAACCTGTCCTCTATATTAATACCAGTTCTGGAGGGAAGTCTATCTTATTTCCTTCAAGTGGAGAACATGTAGCCACATTCCAGTAGAAACTCTGAGTTTATGGGGTTTTATTATCATTGATAACTAACATGTTTATTTATATTAACAGTTTTAATAGATTTAGGGGATAATTGATTTTGTTACATGTACATATTGTATAGAGAGAAAGTCTGGGCTTTGGCGTACCATCACTAACAGTGTTTAATGGAAAATGTACTACTTCAAACAAAAGTGAGCTTTTGGAGCATAGTTTATAGTTCAGGGCTTATTTGTTAGTTGAAGAACTATCTTCAGTTCCTTTATAGTTTTTCTTAAAGCTTGAAGGGAGTAGAAAGATAGGAGGGGTTGAATCTGGTATCAGTTTAGGGAGAAGATGAGAGAATGACATGCAACAACAGTATGAATCATATCCATATCCATGATGGTTATTTATTGGTGACACTTGTATTAAATGAAAAACCTTAAATTTTATACTACTAATTTTTAGAAATTGGGAACTTAATTTCTATCTTATGTCTTTTAAATCCTGTTCAGCAAATCTCCTGTTCCTGTTAACTCTGATGATAGTCCTCAAACTTCAAGGGCAAGTGTGATAAGGGGTTCTTGAAGATTTTTAAATGATGATAATCAGGTGAGTGAAGTTAAATCTTTTTTAATGTATTAAAAGAAGATTTAGGACTAATATATACATTTCTAAATTATTTAGCTATTTTAAAACCAAAAAGTCCCAATCCTCTTCATCCAAACATATATCCATAAAACCATCACTCCTTCCAAAATTATTGATAATTTTATTTTATTTCTTATAATATTTTAAAAATTAACATGTAATAATTATACACATTTATGAGGTATATAGTGATGTTTGATACATACAATGTATAATGACCAAATCAGGGTAATTAATTTACATATCCGTCACCTCAAACATTTATCATTTCTTTGTGTTGGAAGCATTCAAAGTCCTTTCTTCTAGCTGTTTGAAAATATATAATAAATTATTGTTAACTATAGTCAACTGATAATATATAGACCACTAGAACTTATTCTCCATAGCTGTAGTTTTGTATCCTTCAACCAATCTCTCCCTATCCCCTCCTGCCCTCCTCCCCACTACCCTTGTTAGCCTCTGGTAACCGCTGTTCTATTCTACTTCTAGAAGTAGAACCACTATTCTACTTCTATGAGGTTAACGTTTTTAGCTTCCTCATATAAGTGAGAAAATGTGATATTTATCTTTCTGTTCCTGGCTTATTTCATTTAACATACAGTCCTCCAGGCTCATTCGTGTTGCCATGAATGACAAGATTTCATTCTTTTTAATGGATGAATAGTATTCCACTGTGTATATGTATTACTTTTTGTTTATTCATTTGTTGATGTATATCTAGATTGATTTCATATCTTGGCTATTGTGAATAGTGCTGTAATAAACATGGGGGTATAGATGTCTTTCTGATATATTGATTTCCTTTCCTTAGGATATATATCCAATAGTGGGGTTACTTTATCATATATGGTAATTCTAATTATAGTTTTTTAAGGAACCTCCATGCTGTTCTCCATAATGACTGTACTAGTTTATATTCCCACAACAGTGTATAACAGTTCCCTTTTCTCTGTATCCTCACCAGTGTTTGTTATTTTTTCTTGATGATAATAGCCATTCTAACTGAGATGAGAAGATATCTCATTGTGTTTTAATTTGGATTTCCCTGATAATTAGTGATATTGAGCATTTTTTCATATATTTGCTGCCATTTGTATGTTTTCTTTTGAGAAATGTCTGTTAAGATCATTTGCCCATTTTTAAATCATATTATTTATTTTTTGTTGTTGAGTTGAATTCTGCATATTAATCCCTTGTTGAGTGAGTAGTTTGCAGTTATTTTTCTCCCAAGATATGGGTTGTCTTTTCACTCTGTTGATTTTATTTCTTTTGCTACAGAAGCTTTTTAGTTTGATGTAATGTCATTTTTTTTGTTTTTGCTGTGTTGAGGTATACTTCTTCTATACCTAATTTATTGAGAGTTTTTACCATGAAGGGATGTTGAATTTTCTTAAATGTTTTTTTCTATATATTTTGAGATCATATGGTTTGTGTTTTTCATTCTGTTGTTGTGACGTATCAGGTTTATTGATTTACATATGTTGAACCATCTTTGCATCCCTGGAATAAACCCCACTTGATCATGGTGAATGATCTTTTTAATGTGCTGCTGGATTTGTTTCACTAGTATTTTGTTGAGGATTTTTGGGTCCATGTTCATCAGGATATTGGCCTGTAGTTTCTTTTTTTGCTGAGGCCTTGGCTGGTTTTAGTATCAGAGTTATGCTGGACTTGTAGAATGACTTTGAAAGAATTCCCTCCTCTTCAGTTTTATGGAAGAGTTTGAGAAAAATTGAAATTAATTTTTCTTAGTATGTTTGGTAGAATTCAGCAGTGAAGTCATCCAGTCCTGGGCTTTTCTTTGATGGGAGACTTTTTATTACTGATTCAAGTCTTGTTACTCATAATTGGTTTGTTGAGTTTTTCTATTTCTTTTTGATTAAGTTTCAGTAGATTTTATATGTTCAGGAATTTAAGCATCTCTGCTAGGTTTTCTGATTTGTTGGAGTATAGTTGTTTGTAATACTAATGATCTTTGTGTTTCTGTGACATCAGTTGTATGCTCTTTTCTCATTTCTGATTTTATTTGTGTCTTTCTTTTTCCTTGGTTAGTCTAGTTAATGATTTATTGATTTGTTTATCTTTTTAACAAAAAACACTTGTTGAATTTTTTTTAGTCACAATTTCATTCATTTCTGCTCTGATATTTATTATTTATTTCCTTCTATTGAGGGTTTGGTTTGTTCTTGCTTTTCTTGTTTCTTGAGATGTATCATTAGGTTCTTTAAGATATTTCTCTCTCTCATTTTTTTGAGACAGAGTCTTGCTCTGTTGTCCTAGGTAGAGTGCAGCGGCATCATCGTAGCTCACTGCAACCCTGGGCTCAAGCCTCGTCCTGCCTTACCATCCAGAGTAACTGGGACTACAGGTGTGCGTCACCATACCCAGATAATTTTTTCTTGTCGAGATAGGGTCTTGTTCTTGCTCAGGCTGGTCTCAAACTCCTGGCCTCAAGCAGTCCTCCTGCCTCAGCCTCGGAGAATGCTAGGATTACAGGCATGAGCCACCATCCCTGGGTGAGCCACCATACCTGGACTCTCTATTTTTTGATGTAGGTGTTTGTTGTTATAAACTTCCCTCTTAAAAGTGCTTTTGTTGTATCCCATAGGTTTTGGTATGTTGTGTTTCTGTTTATATTTGTTTTAAGAAAATTTAAAGTTTCTTCATTTCATCATTACACATTGATTGTTTAGGAACATGTGTGATTTCCATGTATTTGTACCATTTTGAAAGTTTCTCTTGTTATTGATTTCTATTTTTATTTCATTGTAGTCAGAAAAGATACTTAATATGATTTCAGTTCTTTTAATTTGTTTAGACTTGTTTTGTGTTCTAACATGTGGTTTATCCTGGAGAAGATTTTATGTGCTGATGAAAAGAATGTGTATTTTACAGTTGTTGCATAAAGTGTTCTATAAATGTCTGTTGGATGCATTTGGTTTAAAGTGTAGTTTAAATCCAGTGTTTGTTAATTTTCTGTCTGAGTGATCTTTGCAATGCTAAGAGTGAGAGTCTCCAAATACTGTATTAGAGTCTATCTCTTCTATTAGGTTTAATAAGATTTGTGTTATATATCTGGATACTCTGGTGTTGGATGCATATATATGTTTATGCTGAATTGATCCCTTTATCATTATATATTGACCTTCTTTGTCTCTTTTTATAGTTTTGACTTAAATTCTGTTTTATTTGTTGTAAGTAAAGCTACTACTGCATGCTTTTGGTTTCCATTTGTATGGAATATCTTCCTCCATCTATTCACTTTTGTTTTATGTGTGTATTTATGTGTGTATTCACTTTTGTATTTATAGGTGAAGGGAGTTTCTTGTAGGTAGCATATACTAGGATAATGGTGTTTTATTCATTCAGCAAGTCTATATTGTTTAAATAGGGAATTTAATCTGTACATTCAGGTGTAATGTTGATAGGTGAAGTCTTACTCTTGTCATTCTGTTGTTTTCTGATTGGTATGTGTAGTTTTTGTCCCTTTCTTCTCTCGTTTTTCATTGTGATTTGGTAGTTTTCTGTAGTAATAAGGTTTGACTCTTTTTTTTTTTCTCCTTTATGTAACTGCTCTCCCAGTTAAGTTTTATTCTTTTGTGTGTTTTCATGTTGTGAGGAGGATTATCTTCTTTTTGCTTGTAGATTTAATTTGAACTTGGGCATTTCTTGTGAGATCAGTCTAGTCTAGTGGTGACAAATTCCCTGAAATTCTGCTAGTCTGGGAAAGCCTTTATTTCTCTCTCATTTCTAAAGGATAGTTTTGCTGGGTGTACTATTCTTGGCTTGCAATTTTTTTTTCTTTCAGCACTTGGAATATATCATCCCATTCTCTCCTGTCCTGTAAAGTTTTTGCAGAGAAATCCACTGTTGATCTAATAGGGATTCCCTTAAATGTAAGTTGATGCTTTTCTCTTGCTACTTTTAGAATTTTCTCTTCATTTTTGACTTTTGTCAATTTATACTGTGCCTCTAGGAGGATTTTTTTGTTGTTGTTAAATCTGTTTGATCTTTGAGCTTCCTGGATTTACATATCCATATCTCTTCCTAGACATGGGAAATTTTCAGCTATGATTTTATTTAATAAGTTTTCTATGCCTCTTACCTTCTTTTCTCCTTCTGGGTAGTCTGAACATTTGCTTGTTTAATGGTGTCCCATGAGTCTTGTAGACTTTCTTTACTCTTTTCCATTCATACACACACACACACACACACACACACACACACCCACCACATTTTCCTGTTTGGGTAATTTCAAACAATCTATCTTCAATTTCAGAGATTCTTCTTGATCAAGTCTGCTGTTGAAACTCTTTACTGTATTTTTTAAAAATTTCATTCATTCTTCAGCTCCACAATTTCTCTTTGGTTCCTTTTTTATGGTTTCTACCTGTTTTATTGATTTTTTCATTCATATTGGTGAATTTTTTTCCTTATATTGTTGAATTATCCCTCTGTATTTTCTTGTATATCATTGAAGTTTCTTAAGATCATTATTTTGAATTCCTTTTCCAGCAATTTGTTTATTTCCTTTTCATTGGGGCCTGTTACTAGATAATTATAATGTTCTAATTTTTGTGAATGTCAGTTTTGTGGTGTCATATTTCCTTGCTTTTTCATGTTTCTTATATCCCTGCATTGATATCTGTACTTCTTTCTGAATTGTTTCTCTGTTTTTTATTGAAGTTTACTGAGTTTTCTTAAAATAAGCTGTTTTGAATTCTTTGTCTGCCAAATTGTTCATTTTCAGGTGTTTAGAATCGGTTGCTTAAATATTATTTTGTAAATAGTTCTTCAATTTGGGTTTGTCTGAAGTTTTCCCATGACTAGAATGAGGTGATACATTTTTGGCAAGAATACCAAAGAAGTGGTGTGCACTTCTCAGTACATCATATCAGAGGGTTCATGATATATTGATATCATTAATATATTGATATGTTAATACAGTAAATAATATTAATGAATAATAATGTGTAAATGCTGGTAATGTTAACCTTGAACACTTGGTTAAGGTGGTGTTTATTGGCTTTCCTTAGTAAAGTTACTGTTTCCCCTTGTAATTAATATTAAGTTATTAAAAGTATGAAATGTCCAATTTCTTTAAATACTAAGTTTGACATTTGTTATCTCTGACATTTTGCTTTGACACTTCTTTATTTTTATTGTGAAAGTACATCCTCAGTCTTTCAAATGCATGTTTTGGCTTGTGATTATATTTCAAAATTTCTTTTAGAGCAATTTTTGTGAAACCATAAAATTGATGTTATTTTAAAATATGAGTTCCATCATGGAACCAGGGCAGTGCAGACAGCTAGAAATATCAATGAAGTGTTTGGAAAGGATATGGCTAATGAATGCACAGTATATCGATGGTTTGAGAAGTTCTGTTCTGGTGGTTTTAATCTGGAGAATGAGCCACGTGGGTGACCTGAGACCAAGGTGGATAATGATGAGCTGAAAACTGTAGTGGAAGCAAATCCTTCTCAACCTACTGCATGAATTACCAGCAAGGTTTGATGTTACTATTACAACAATATTGGAACATCTGGAACAAATTTTCATGGTAAAGAAGCTGGATAGGTGGATTTTACATGAATTTAAACCAGCGTCAGAAGAGAAATCATCTCAAAGCTTGCCTTTCTTTGCTGTCACGACATAAAGGCCAACCATTTCTACACTGTATTATGTGTGATGAAAACTGGATTGTTTTTGACAATCGCTAGCATTTGGCACAATGGTTGGATAATGATGAAGTGCCAAAATACAGCCCCAAACCAAATATTCATCCAAAAAAGCTACTGGTGTCTATTCTGTGGTCCAGCACAGGTATTATCCACTACAGCTTCATGAAACCCGGTCAATCAATTACAGAGGATCTCTACTGCAACCAGTTGGATGAAATGATGAGGATGCTTGCGATTAAGCAGCCAAGATTGCCCACTAGAGTCAGGCCAATCCTCTTGCAAGACGATGCTTGACCACATGTCACACACAAAAAAAACACTGCTCAAATACAGCAGCTGGACTTGGAAACTCTGTCATTCACTGTATTCACCATTCCTTCACCAAGTGACTACCACTTCTTGCAAGGAAGAATATTCATTTCTCAACAAGCTATGGAAAATACCTTTTGTGATTTCATTGCCACTCTCTCTCTAGGCTTCTTTGCTGCTGGCATAAATAGGCTACTGTTAAGATGGCAAAATTGTTTAGGTGCTATGTCAATTGTTTAGGTGCTGATAGTTTAGGCACATACTTTGAGTAATTGTACTATACTGCTTCTTGTTTAAGATATAATAACCTACACTTGTGATTTGAAATTGTACGTTTTATATTTAATGACCTAATATCCTTGGGTAGTTTGAGACTGTAGAAATATTGTTTCTCCATAAACTTTCATCTACCAATTTTAATATCCTTGATGAATCTTTTGTTCTATATTTATTAATTGAAATCCTTAAGTAATGATGAGCTATGCCTTCTCTTCCACTTATTTGTGTATTAAACTAGTTATATCAGCATGTATCTATAGATATTTTATTCTAGGTTTATAATACACAATTATTATTTATGCTGTTGTTGAAATTATTCTAGTTTAGGCCATTAGTAGTTCCTTTAGGTTGGCTCTTGTGTCCTTTTGACATGTTCCTAATCTTTTTTGAGCCTTTCCCTCAGGAGCCATGATTCTTTTTATCAGAAAATGGTGTTTAAAAAACTAAGGTCTAGACATTAGTTGTACTTATTGATGGTAGGTTGTTATTCATTCTAGACTCTGTCAACAGGAAAACCTAGAAAACATGTTTACCAACCCACACATACTCACACATCTACATTTCTATATCTCTTTATACATGTGTGTATATATACATATTTATATCTATGTGTAAAATCATGAGTTCATACTAATACCTTTAATTTCCAGTCCAATACCATAGGATTTGTTTTAGCTTTTCCTGTTTGTTTGTAACTCTTTCTGTGCCTGTGAGAATCCTGACTCATTATCTAGTATAGATTTACTTACCTGTTCAATTTTAGTATACACATAGTTTCAGAATTGCTAAGTCATATCCCTATAACAAATTTACCAACTATATTACATTATTGCATATTGTTATTTTTGTCTTTAGCCCTGTAATATCAAATCAAAATATTGTTTTCAAAATTAGTAGGTTAATTATTTTCTTCTCAAATCCCTTTAGTGTGTTTGTGTTGTTTATTTTTAATATTGTTAGATTGTTCATTTTTTATTAGGTATAATTGGCCATCTGTATCTGTAGGTTCTGCATTTGTAGATTTAACTGACTGCAGATCAAAAATATTTTGAACAAAAAAATAATACAAATTAAAAAAAATAATAGTATAACACCTATTTACTTAGCATTTACATTGTATTGGGTATTTTAAGTAATCTAGAGATGATTTAAAGTATATAGGAGATTTGCATAGGCTATATGCAAATACTATGCCATTTTATATCAGGGACTTGAGCCTCCTTGAATTTTGGTAATCATGGAAGGTCCTGGAACCATTTCCCCAAAATACCAAGGGACAACTGTATATTGGGTTCTCCCTGTATTGTTTAGTTTAAATCATTTATTTTTAGAACATATGAAGTATTGTTATCACTAAAAGAATCAGAGCTATACAAAAAATGTACCCAGAGATATTGACTACCAGGTTTTAATGACAAGGACCATAACAAATTGTATTACACATACCAACCTTTTAAAACTATTAATTAACAATGGCACAAAATAGTTGATATAATGTTTTGTAGTTTTCTGTCGTCTTTTGGTACTCAGACCACTACTTTGCATGAAAAGCTCACTCAAGTTAGAGATAACATTTCAGAAGCTGGCTTTTGTCGCTTTTATGGTTGGCATCAGGCAACCAGATATTCTAAACTAGTGGCTGGAATGCAGATCATTTGGAGATAGTACCTCAAATGCTATCTTCAAGGGTATAAGAGTATAAGCATAACTGGATCCTTATATTTTATTTTGCTAAGATATATATATAACATAAAATTTACCATTTTAATCATATTTAAGTATAAAGTTATATGGCATTAAGTGCCTTCACATTGTGTATAGCTATCACCATTATCCATCCCCAGAACTTTTTCATCTTCTCAAACTGAAGCTCTGTACCCATTCATACTAACTCCCCATCTCCCCTTTACCTAGACCCTGGCAAGCAGCATTATACTTTCTGTCATTATGAATTTGCTACTCTTGGAACCTCATATAAGAAGAATCCTAAAATATGTGTCCTATTGTGACTGGCTTATTTCAGTTAGCCTAATGTCTTCAAGGTTCATTCATGTTGTAGCATTTGTCAAAATTTCATTTCTTCCTTGGAATGAATAATATTCCATTGTATGTATGTACCACATTCTGTTTATCCATTCATCATTTAGTAGATACTTGCTTCCATCTTTTGACTATTGTGAATAATGTTGCTATATGAACATGGATGTGCAAATGTCTACCCAAGTCCTTGCTTTCACCTCTTTTGGATATATACCTAGAAGGAGAATTGCAGGATCTTATAGTAATTCTGTGTTTAATTTTTTATGGAATTCTTATACTATTTCCCACAGTGACTATACCATTTTACACTTCTACACCTTGTTTTTTATATCCTGTTCACATAACTGTGGGAATGTCTTTAGAATCTTTTAGTCATTCTGCTTACTTTGAATATCTCATGCTAATCAACAACTTTCTATAGAATTGAAGTCTAAATAGTACTTATACTGCACTGTCAAGGCTGAAATATGTTAAATTATAGACATCTTAAGAGGCCTATTTGCTCTGTGGATAGCTATCAGGACACAGCAACTCATTTGAAAGATGTAAAATGATAGACTGGTATGATTTTTAAAAATAAGTTTTAAAATATCCCTTACAGACTATTTTAAAAGAATCTTGACCACCTTATGTAGCCAAGTGATGTTGCCATCTTTGAATAGATAAGGTTAATGGCAATTGGGATGTCAGTGTTATTTAGGTAGCAGGGTATGTGTGGCCCATGAAGAGATGAAAAGCCAGCATTCTCTGTATGAAAACATATAAAAGTGTGCAGAGAATACTATATTTGAAATTTTATCCTTGCTCAGCTAAAAAGGGCATGTTGGTTAACCTGCTCTCTAAGGACCTTTATAGTTCTAAAAATGTGTGATTTTAAATATACTAAGTGAATATTTTGTAAATTTATTCATTTTAAAAGAGCAAGGACTAGAAATAATATTCTAAATTGTTAATCATGATTGTCTCTAAGTAACTTCACCTGGGGACTGGACATGGAAAAGTGGTGAGTTTCAATTTTTATTTTTCAGAACACTATTGATATGTATTTTGATTTTTGCATTAATTTTAAATTTGGGGAAATAATACAAAATCAAACTTTTTCCCTTGAATTTGGATAGTTAACTTTATACTATTGTTACTAGCCTCTGAGTGGAGGTTTTTCCAAGTTCTTGGTGATTGCCAGGAGAAAAGAATTTCAGGATACACCATGTAAGCCAATCAAGTGACAGCTTTTTATTGGAAGTGAAAGTACACTCTTAGGGGGGAGAGCAGGCAGCCTTGAAAGAGAGCAGCTCCCCCAAGAGGAAGTAGTTTTTGGTCTTTTGAAGTCTTACTAATTGAGGGGAGGAATTCAAGGCTAAGGGGATGTATTTTACTAAGAATTTGGATAGTAATTCTTAGAATTGAGTTCCCTCATATTTTCATACTTTATATGGTTTTTTTTTGATCTTTGATGGTGATTTCAAGGGCAGAGAAATTTTAAAACCACAATGGAGATATTATAGTTAGCCATGGTTCCTGTAAGGTGACAGAGATAGCTGACAAGTTGGTTGAAACTGGTTCTTCCCTGTAGTTATCAGCCCCTCTAGTTAGCTTCTTTTTTGAGGGTTGTTTACTTTAACACCCTCATCTAATCTTCAAACCCCTGCATCCAGTCTCAGCTCTGTCTCCTAGTCTCCTACTCTAACACTATCATCTGTTTTAACCTTAGAGCTGCACCCTTTCTGGAGGCAAACATCATGGTCCTGTTGAAGCCCTGAAACAAATGTTATTTAATCTTCAAGCAGTACAAGAAAGTTTTAATCAGAATAAATCCACAGAACCAAAAGAAGAGATTAAACTGGTAAGCATAAACTTGATTTATGAACTGAGATTTTTGAATTTATAGATTTTTTTCCTATATCTTTTTTAGACCTACTTCTAGTTTTATGTTAATAAGCATGCCACATAACACACATTGTAGATTTATATTACTATTCTTTTTTATAGAAAGCAGTTAATTCTGTTAGATTTCTGTAGTTGTTTACCTCTGAACAGATTGTTCTATTTAGTTTATGGTTACAAACCCAACATCTTATTTAGATATAATGATGTTACAACTATAGTATGAAGGATTGTGAAAGGTTTTTTTTGAATGCTCTACCAAATTAATCTGTATGGTCCATCTTCTCGTAGTCATATTTGGGGAGGCCTAGAAAACTTTTTCAACATTAGACTTTGTCATCTATAATTTAATTTTGTTACCATGTGTTTATTATCTTTTGAATACAGTTATATAAAGTTTTATTTTGGGACTATTGTGTTTTTTTCAATTATTATTTCCTAGGAATTTTTAAATCTTTTCCTGCTTTGGACAATTCTATAGGATGAATTTTTTTCACAAAAGTATAGTGTTTAAGAGTATAGAGTTTACATTTTCTCAAATGTCATTTTGAATTCTAATTTTGCCACTTACTAACAAGTGCAATATTTGCACAAATCATTTAATTTCTTTAGTTTTAGTTTCTTTTCTTTTAAAAAATTTTTTAATTTATTTTTTAATTGACAAATATTATATATATTTTTGGTGTAAAACATATTTTGATGTTTTGAAATATTGTGGAATGGTTAAATTGAGCTAATTGGCATATGTATTACCTCATATATTTGTTGTTTTTTTGTGGTGAGACCACTTCAGATCTACTCTTAGTGATTTTCAAGTGTACAATATGTTGTTATTCAACTATCATCATCACCATGTTTTATGATAGATCTCTTGAACTTAATCCTCCTACCTGAAACTTTTTATCCTTTGACCATTATCTCCCCAACTATTCTCCCACCCCCTACTACCTTCTGGTAACTACTAATTTACTCTTTGCTTCAATGACTTTAACTTTTTAGGTTACACATATAAGTGACATTATGGATTATTTGTCTTTCTGTGCCTGGCTTATTTCACTTATCAGTTTCTTTTTCTATAAAATGAGGTTGTTGAGAAGATAAATTGAGAGAAGCTTATAGAAAATACTAAGTATAGTGTTGATAAATACTTGATAAATACGCAATAAATGATAGCTCTTATTATTATTGTTTATGTTGTTATTGTTATTAAGTAGAACCTTATGAAAATCAGTTTTCCTTACAAATATGATCTAAAGAGCTACAAAAATGTAGCTCTTTAGAACTACCACAGCCTGCTCATTTGGGTTGTATTTCTTAATTTTTCTTCTCACATTCTAATAATCATAATATTAACATATAGAGTATAATCCATCCTTTCCCCTGCCTTTTAAACGTCATTGAGACATAGCTCTGTTCAGTAAAGTCATAGTTAGTGGACATATGTTTAGAACTATACTTTAGGACAATTGAAAGATGACTCTGGTAGTTGTAGTGTTTTTAGAATAAAGGAAAAATAATAATATTTAATGCTCTCCTGAAAATTATTTGCCAGAATCAATTCTTTGGAAATGCAGAAAATAATTTTTAATGTTCTTAATCACATTTTAAATAAAATTTAATTTTATAACTATATAATATTTTGTTATATTTGATATTTTTAATAATAGGTTTTAGAAGATGACATCTCTAAATTACAGTTGAAAGAAAGTATGGTTCCTATTACTAGGTCACTTCAAAAGTAAGTATTCTTTACAATATGGATACAGATCCATCTTAGCCATTCCTTTGACTGTAATCAGAAAGTTACAGGGTCACAGGAAGTAGTTCAAAGGCATATTTAAGCTGTTTAGAGCACATTATTTAATCTTTAAGAAAAACATATTTTTTAATCCTTCACCTGTTTTCTATTTAAAATGTTCTGAGGATCTAATGAGATATCCTTAGACATCTAAAATATAGTAGATGTGAATGACTCATTTATGAGTAGTAATAATAACAATTTATGATAGTATTTGTGTGAGCATCCTTAAACAATAACTTCTTATGAAATGTGTTTTAATATTTCCTCTAGAATAAATATAATAATCATAAATGTTTCAGTATGAAACATCTCCACAGAAATCTAAGGTAGATACAATATCCTGGATATAAAGATAAGTCTATTTTTCTTAGTTACATTGTCTTATATATAACAAAAGGGGAAGAATCCAAGTTGGAATGATAGTGATGTTTTGGCAGAAGAGAAAGATACTTATTTTGGGGCTTGGGTATGTGAATATGAAGTGTCCTCTGATGATGGAATACTGGGTTTAGGAAATACTAAGATTAAAAATTTCTACTCTAGGAACACAACTTCCTTGTCTATAAGTGAGGCTGAACAAATGTTCTCTACCTTTTGTACTTTCAGAACTTGCTTGTTATTTGAAAAACTGGTGGGAAAATAGAACACTAGACATGTAAACTTATGACTCTAATTGTCATAAATACGTATATAGTTTTCATAGTTAAATATGTTACATATGGTAACTTTTCTCTCTGTACTCTGTTTGTAATCCTTAGGGTAGAAATAATGCCTTTTTCTTTGTAGCTTACCATAATATTTGTGTATAATATTCAAGACCTAGAATTCAGTGAATAATGATAATAATTAACATTTATTGAATATTTACCAAATATCAATGTTTTAAGTGCTATTGAATATAATTAATGTGATCTTCACAACCTTATGAGGTAAGCATTATTATTATCTTGATAATATAAATCACGGATTAGGCATGGAGTAATAGAAGAACTTGCCCAAGGTTACATTGCTAGTAAGAAGTAGCACTGTGTTTCTAACACTCCTCTTGTTAATGATAGTGGTGAATTATTTATTGAGACTAGATGCAGGGCCTCAATTGATCATCTAGGATAAAGACTTCATTCTGCTTTAACATTTAAAGTGAATGACCTCCAGCTTTCCATTGCTCTTAAAAGCATTAATATTGAACTTGTGTCACAGACCTAAATATGTTTTCTGAGCTAAAGTGCATACCTTAAATGTTTTTCTTGATGAAAATGAACATTGAGTTATAAGTAATTAAATCGCCACAAAAATCAATACTGATCTATAAGTGCTTTTAGCATTTGTTAGAACTTTTTTTAATTGTAGTAACTTTTTTCCTCCCATAAACAATCAATAGTCTGACCTACATAAAGAATTCCATTTTTGAGGAAAGCAAGTTCATGCTTTATTCTTTTTTTTTTATTTTTATTTTTTTGAGACAGAGTTTCACTTCTGTTTTCCTGGCTAGAGTGCCATGGCATCAGCTTAGTTCACAGCAACCTCAAACTCCTGGGCTCAAGCGATTCTCCTGTCTCAGCCTCCCGAGTAGCTGGGACTACATGCATGCACCACCATGCCCAGCTAATTTATATATATATATATATATATTTTAGTTAGCCAACTAATTTCTTTCTATTTATAGTAGAGACGGGGTCTCAACTCTTGCTCAGGCTGGTCTTGAGCTCCTGACCTTAAGCAATCCACCCACCTCAGCCTCCCAGAGTGCTAGGATTACAGGCGTGAGCCACCGCGCCTGGCCAAGATTCAAGTTTTGTTAGATGACTTTTAGTTATTGATTCCATTGGATTAGCTGGAGCAGTCTAACATTTGGCTTTTACTTTACATTTCAGAAACATTATCAGTAAGGCATTTATACTGTTGTAAGGTAAATTTAGACTAACAAAAGAATTTATATAGTACATTTTTTCTTATTTTCAGTTGGTAGATTGACTGTTTTAAGGACAATTTAAATTTAATTCAGTCTCAGAATCCCTCTTTCTAGGCTGCAAAATGTTCTGGCTAAGTATATGATCATCTTTTCATATACCAAAATAAATATTTCAAATATATTTCAAAATTTCAAAAATACTTCAGAAGTTACTGATTTTACTTTGGGGCTTTAATGACCTCCCCTAAGGTGAAAGTACTATTACATCTCTTCCTATTCCTCAAATATCAGTTTTTGTTTTTAACAATTTAGATGGCTAACTGGTTTTAAGATGTCTTTCATTATTCATAGGTAACTCCATGCTCTTAGTCTGGGCTTCGTTTACTTCCTTAGACACTCAGTTTTCTTATATTCTCTTATTAGAAATATCTGTTCTCTAGGAATACTCATTGGAACTGAAGTATAAGTGGCTGATAGCAGCTTAAATCTTATTTTTTCTGGAAGGATTTCTCTTGTGGTAGGAATCAAAATTATAATAGTTTTGTATCCCTGTAATACTTGGCCTTGTCTCATATATTTAAATATTAGGAATTCAATAAAAACTTGTTAACTGAAACTTCTATAACAGAAATTTGTCATCTTTAATCAAATGAAAGAATTATAGTTTCTGAGCAAGGGATTTTTCTAGAATCTTCTGTTGTATCATGTAGACTACTCTCCCTAGATGGACTGTGAAAAATGAACAGCAGTTAGTATATTGCTCATGTACCATAAAGGTAAATAATAGTAGACTACTTTAAAATCATCAGTCATCCAAAGATAATTTCTACTTGTCTTTGGAATATGTTGTTTTATATATAACTTGGAAATAAATGTGTAAAATTTTCTACTTCTCAATATTTAAAGACCATGCTGTGAAGACCAAACTTAATGGTAGCTAGAAAGTTGTCCAGTTTCTCAGTTCTGTTTTGCTCTTCAATTTTATGGTTTTTATTTCATAGTAGAGATAGACAGAATTACCTCTCAGTCTTACCCATCACCCTAAAGGAAGGATTTTTCTTTATTCTAATATGCCCATACTTTATTTAGATCTAGGGAGTGGGAGGCAGTTTCTTCTGAAAAGACTTTCATACACTTCTTGCTGGATAATTGGCTGAATGTAGGCCAGTAAATAGTATTTAAGAGAACAGTCAATGGTATTTCTACTGGGAAACCAAAGGCAAGATATCTATGAGTAAATTAAAATAGAGCTAAACTGCCTTCATATATTAATAATTAGTCTGTTACTGAGTTTGTGTGAGTAGATTTGTATCAATATTAACTGTGATGCTCGATAGATACATTATTATAAAAAGAAATGAGTTTCTTTTACTTCAGTTTTTAAGGTGAATGACCAAGTGTTTTGTCATCACTCTTAAATTGATGTTTTCCCCATTAGCCTTTTTTATGTTTTTAGAAAAGAAAGTCAAGAATAATTTCCTTCCATAGTTTTAGCTTCCACTTCTTACACATACTTTTGAAATAGCAATCACTTTGTGATAGCTGTTTCTCTAAGTAGACTGATTATTTTAGGCTCAGCAGGGCAGACAGTGGTTAAATGAATGGATATAGGATGAAAGAAACTTCTAGAGAAGTTTATCAGAATAATCCAGAACCAGAACAAGAAGAGATTAAACTGTAGCATAAATTTGATTTATGAACTGAGTTTGAATTATAGATTTTTCCTGTATTTTTTTACTTACTTTTTTAGGTTATGGCTTATAAGCATTTTGCCACATTTAAACAAACATTTAGATTTATATTACTATTCTTTTTTATAGAAAGCGTTAATATTCGTTAGATTCTTGTTTAGTTGGATTACCTTACAAGGGATTGGTCTATTTAGTTATGTTACAAAAAACCCCAACATTTTTAGATATAATGTGGTTTACAGACTAATAGTATGAAGATTGTTGAAAAGGTTTTTTGAATGTTCTTACCAAATTAATGCGGTATGTCCATCTTCGTTTAGTTTTTCATCATTTGGAGCTAGGAAAAATTTCAAACTTAAGAACTTGTTGTTTAATATTTAATTTGTTTTTTTACTACATTGTTTATTTCTTTTGAAACAGTTATATTAAAGTTTTATTTTGGACTATGTGTTTTTTTCAATATATTCCTAGGATATTTTAAAATCTCTGCTTGGGGGACAATTCTATATATAGGGATGGAATTTTTTCACAAAAGTATCAGTGTTTAAAGAGTATGAGTTTAACATTTTTTCAATTGTCTTGAATCTAATTTGGCCACTATTACAAGTTGCATATTTGGAACAAATCATTATTTCTTAGTTTGTCTTTTCTTTTAAAAAATTTTTATTATTTTTTAAATTGACAATATTATTATATATTTTGTGTTAAAAACATAGTAGTTTTGAATATTGTGAAGATGTTAATGAGCTAATGGCATATGTATACTTTCATATTATTTGTTGTTTTTTTGGGGCCACTTTTCAAGAGTCTACTCTTAGTGATTTTCAGTGCAATGTTGGTTATCAACTTTTTCATCTCCACCATTTTTTTATGATAAGGGGTTTCTCTTGAAAACTTAACCTCCCCTACTGAAATTTTTCTTACCATAATCTCCCCACTTTCTTCAACCAACTTTACTTTCGGTAAACTTACTATTTTATCTTTGCTCCAGACTTACTTTTTAGGTTTACAACATATAATGACATTATGGGTTAGTGTCTTTCTTTGTGCCTGGGGGTTATTTTTCACTTAATCGTTCTTTTCTAAAAGAAATGAGTTGGAAGATTTAAATGAGAGAAGCTTATAGGGGAAATAAACAGTTAATATCGTTAAATGAACTTGATAAATACGCTTTATGATTGCTTTTATATATAATTTGTTATGTTGTTATGTTATTAAAGTAAGGGACTTAGTGGAATCAGTCTTTTCTTAAAAATATGGATTCTTAAAAGAGCTACCCAAAAATGTACGCTTCTTTAAACTTACATAGGGCCTGCTTCTTTGGTTTTTTCTAA